TTTTTTTTTTTTTTTTTTTTTTTTTTTTTTTTGGCAAGAACGGGAAGGAGTAGGGGGAGATTTTGACCAAAACTCGACTTTTTATGAAATCTATCACTTGTGTAAATATTTTTGGACAGCTTTAGCCCTCTCTTATGGATCTCAAGGTCATGCAGAGATGGATGTTGACAGGATGGATGTACTCAACACAGGGCTCTGCCCAGTTATTCCCCACTCAACTGCTGTTTATCTCTGCATCTTAGAGAATAATACCTTGCACTTCTCCTTTTCACTTTTGTAGCTGATCTGCCTTCCACCCACCCTCTCACACAGTCACCTGATAGTGTGCCAGTGTGTTGAGTCTCTTCCAGTCATTCTCTATCTTGGTTGTGATGTCTTCATCCTGAAGGATCATTCTGGCCCCGCTTGCTTGTCGCCACTCTGCAAGGGAAACGGGGACATTGAACCCTGATGTGCAGAGCTTCCAAGGTAGGGGATGGAGCCCTGGAAATCCTGTGTCCGTAACCCAGGTGGTCACACAGGTGGAGGCTGCACCCTTGTAGCAGCATGTCATCCACTGCCAGTATGCTCGGCAAGATGCCTCCAACCAGGTACAACATACAAATGCACAAATGTCCTGAGTCCTCTTTCCAGAGAGAAAGAGAAGACAGATGAACCATGAAAGATTCAGGGAAATTGTTCAGGAAAGTATGCAGAAATTAGTCATATGGCAAAGTTTAGAGTCATGTCCTAGGTTATCCTGACTGGTTTCTTGATAAAATGATATAGCTATCACAGACCAACTTTTGCATTGGAAATACCCACCCCTTTAAAGAGAGACACCACATAGAGATCACAACATAGATCTCTATGTTGTGATCTCTGTCTCAATAGAGCAGTTGCCTACAGAGACGAGAGGTCCAAGGCACAGCTGCACACAGTGCTGAGGTCTATATAGATAAATAATAGAGCAATGACCAGAGACCTGCCGAGCCACTGGCAGAGCTGAACAGAGCAAGGTGTGGTGCTTTAGCACCCTGGTTATTGACGCTCCTTAACTCTTGGCTGACACCCTGGCTCTGTTCTTGCTCCAATGTGGCTTTTTCCAAGACCAGCCTGTCCTTGCCTATGTCATCATGGAACAGGAGCAAATCAATGTGTCAGGGATAGAACTTCATCCCTGGACCTCTTCTTTAGGAGCATAGACAAAGTCTTTATTGATACCTGAGATAAGTCTAACTGCCAAAACCTAGCCACAGAGAGGGCTCCCCTGGGCAGAGCTTCTTCAGCACAGCACTACACCCTGTACTGGGTTCAGCTCACCTCCCTTAGTGCTTGCACAATACTTCTTGCTACTCAAATCCAGAAGTGATGGAGAGCAGGAAGCCCTTAGCTTTGGGCATGGTAGAGGTACAACAGGGAGAAGAGCCAGAAAGAGAAACGACATCCTGCTCTGTGCAGCTCTACCAGCTTTCAGCAGCATCCAGTTCTCCAGCCTCCACCCCAAAATAAATGTTTTTCTCCTTCTGCAGGACTGGAGCACCCCATCACTTCTCAGGGTACCACCTTTTGCTCAAATCTTGAAGAATGCTCCATGTGGAGAATCATCAGAGCTTTCCTCACAGAGGGCTCACGGACTTCCCTGTAGACAAGGAACACACAAGCACAGCCAAAAGGAGACAAATGTAATATCATCTGATGGCACCAGGGAAGGCTGTGGCTCAACTACAGACAACCTGGATCATCCAAAGCTTTCTTTTTGGTTGCCATGTCTCAGTCACAGTGACCCAGCCACATACAGTTTAGCCAGAGCCAAAGCAGAAAGTCCATTCTTTTGAGTGAGTTAATTAAACTGAACTCTTGGATATGAAGACATCACCTGCCACCCCTGCTTATTTCCCCTAATATATAAATGCAAGGACTGTTGCAAATTTCTTTTGGTTTCAGCAGTTTTCTTATCACATAATTAAAATCTATTGGGAAAGCTGCCCTTGCCTTTATTATTCATTTAAATTAGCAGGAAGAGGTCAGCTGCTGTGTTTATTGCTGGGTGGTACTTCGGATGGAGATACTCAGAGAGTAAGCAAAGGTTATGTTGGCTAAGCACTGATCCTGAACTGCCCTTTATTTACTCCAGATCCTTAGATCCTCACCTACATTACCGCTGTGATGTCCAAGGATGATGCTCTGTTTGTTCCCACCTGGATCGGATTCCTGGAAGATAACTCATCCCAGATATTGCTTGGAAGAGCACAAAATGCTGAAGCTTGTGCTGCACTAGAAGACAGCACCCCACGGAGTGCCAAAGCCAATCTGACTGTCACAGAGTGTGTCTCTTATGTGCCTTCCTCATGGTCTCTTGGGGACAGCTTCTCTTTGGCCTCCTCCTTCAGGGCTCGGCGTGTTCCTGTGGTCTTCATCTCTCCTGACTCATCTTTGGGGAGAGGCACACACACTCACATAGTGTTTCAGGAGGGATGCCCATGTTCTCACTGTGGCACTTGGTTCTGATACGAAGGGTAGGCACAGCTTTCCTCATTCTGTGAGTTAGTTATATTCAAGGGCTGGACAAGGTCCTTAGAGCAGCAGAAGCTTTCCCTCTGCTCCAGGAGAATTAGTGACATTGTGGGATGTCCCCTCAAGCCCTCTGTGCTCCTGCACAGACACAGGACATGATTGCCAAGCCCTTCCCCTCGGCCTTCCTGCAGAAAGGTGACATGCGAGGAAGAGGAAGGACCAGTCCAACTCCACACAAGACCCACTCGTGAGCAATACAAGGAGGAAAACACCCTGCAGGGCAAGATCACCTGTAGCCTGTTTGCCCTGACTAAATACAAATCACTGGATCATGCATCTGAGCAATGACAGGATAAGGACCCCCAGCTGTGGGTCCCCAACACTTCCTAGTCTCAGAGGAGCACTGCACTCTCCCCTTCTCCATGAGCACCAGCTGAGGTGGTCACACACTGATCTGCAAGAAAATGCAATGGCTGAGAGCAAGGGAATGGGAAGGGAGGGTGGAAAGGAGAAAAAGTTGACCCTGACATCCATATTCTGAGCACTAAGTGAAAACTGTTAGCTTTGTCCTCGCTGGCAGCACCCCATCCCCTCTCTCATCAGATCTGTGTGCTCCTCCGCAAGCTGGCACAAAGGAGAGACACACTCCAATCCAATTTGTTACACTTCCACCTTCTGGAGAGAGGGAGGGAGAAGGGGAGGGAGGTAAAAAATCCCATTATCTTTATCAAGCCTTCCAATCGGGAGCAGCGGTAAATGCAAACTCAGGAGACAGCTGCTGTGAAGCCTTTATATTTCATTCAACAGATAGTGTATCTTTTTATTGCACACAGGAATTACTTCTTTTTTCTTATTTTTTTTTCTTTTTCTTTTTTTTTTTTTTTAAGAAACAACCTTTCTGTTCAACTTGACTGGGAAAAAGGAAATTCCAGGGGCCTTTGACAAAGAGATGCTTCTTTGAACTGTAGCAATGCCTGGCTAAAGGATGACTCTATGGGGAGATGGGAGATGGGGAGATGTCCTCCTGCACCTCAGATCCTCTAGAAAATATTATACCTCCCTCATGCCTCTTCTCTGATCTGGGTCACCCTGAAGATGCCCATTGAACAAGGGAGAAAATGTGGCAGAGAGAACATTTTTCAGGGGCAACTGAAATATCCAGGTGGATAGAAGACCTGCCAGCTCACTCCAAGTGCCTTCATTTGAGCTAACCATCATCAGTTACATCATCCTTTACAGGCAGTTCTAGGTCAGGATGAACACAATCCATTCCAGTCAACTGTTCATGACATGTACTGTGCTTCCCACCCTTTTCCTAAAGACCCTACGTCTCCTGTGAAATGCTTTGTGGCTGACTGTGCACAGCAACAGCATGTGGAACAAATGCCTGTGGCTTACCCAGGTGTGATGCTAATTTCTCAATTACTTGTGCTCATGAGAAGTCTGAAGAGCTGGGGGTCTGCTTTTAGTCTTATTTTTTCACTTCCCAATAATTTCCACATTAGAGGCAGACTGGCGCAGGGAACAGGAGAATGTCTGGATGCTGAAGGCACCAGTACAACCAGGTGGGTAGGAAACCAAACTAGGTAAATGTCTAGTATGTGATGACCTCTAGGAAGAGAGGAGAAACTCAGTTCTGCTTCTGGGGTGGAGAAAGGACTGCCATGGTTGGGGGGAAAAAGTTCATATCAGAACACGTAGATGGAAGATGCCTGGCAAATATTTCATCTTGTATATGCAACCTGTCTGCCTTACTGTATATGAACTAGAGTTAGACCCAGATTAAATGGCTCCTAAAGGTTAAACCCCACATCCCAGCACTGTATTGCTGGCAGGGCAGTGAAAGCTTGCCTGGCATCGTTCACAATAAGCCTGAGACAATATAATTGACTGCAAGGCAGTCAAGCTAGTAGCTCCTATCATCTCAGCAGTCTCTTTCAAAAAGCAACTGAAACATGGGGAAGAGTGAATGCCTCAGCGTGAAACCAAATTCCTGTTTTGTGATCCTCACACCCTAATTCTTCCCCAAAGATGGGGTATTTTATTTATGGTGAGAGCTTTAAAAAATAGTAACAAAAAAAAAAAAAAAAATAGCCACTGTAGAAAGAAGCCTTTACTCAGAGGGCTGCAATTTGGGGTTTGGACTAAAATGTAACCTCAGGGTGTCCAGAATAAGTGCTTTCAGCTGACAACCCCCTCCATGAGTTGTCTGGGTAACTACAAAACATTATGACATTTGCGACACATACAAGTCACTCTGCCTGCAGCTACCCTGCATTTAACAACTCAGAATAACTCATTAGCTTGTTTGCTTTCTTCCATGTGAGCAATGTGGCCTTACTATAGACAGAAAGCCCAGAAAATTGTAAAGGTAATAGAAAATGGTGTTGCCGTTTAGAAAACCAGAGCTTTCAAGGCCAGATTACAGTCATCTGCTCTGACCTACTGTTTAGCATGGACTGGGGGGCTGATCCAGCCGCCTTCACAATTCTGAGCATTCAGCCTGGGGCAGGTTGACCCTGAAAGCTGCTTCCTAATGGCTAGCAGCGCTTTCTGCTCTCCCCTTGACGCCTCTGCTGTCACAGAAGGATGCCATGTGCCAACAAACAACTTTTCCTGCAGAGGCTGGGCTGGAGCTGTGGCTGGACATGCATATCCTCTTGTTCCTGCTTCACCCATGCCAGCCCTGCTCCTCCCACCTTGTTAGCTGCTGTGCTAAAGGATCCTGAAACTATATTGCTGCTGGCAAGACTCTTCTACTAGATGAAGGGTCTTTTTGTGTTTTGTTTTGGGTTGTTTTTTCCCCAACTGCATCATCGATGCTATTGGCCAACCAGCTGCTCATTAAGCAGTCTCCTGTCAGTATGGACAAGTCCGTCCTCGGAGGGGTGTACACGCTCACCAACACTTTCTGGAACTTGCTGGTCCTCAGCACCGCTCCACATTTCTTAAAACAATTAACAGTCCTAGATGCAAAACTGTCAGGCTCCAGCTGGGACCCCAGAAGACTGACACTTCTTTATCTGTCAGTTGTCAGAGCTACAGTAAAATCTGTGGACTCCAATTTATCCCTGGCATTTGCAACATGCAGGTGGAATTCCTGCCTGCCATTATGGATGCATCATTCATCCCCACAGCAGTACAAACTACTTTCCACTCACACCCGGTCTAAGATCTGAACGTAGTGAGCTCTGTGGTCACCATCCAGCATCGGCTGGGTCAAGAGATCTGGCTGTAAATGCCACTTCTCCAGTCCCCTGTGCCCTGGCACCCTATGCTATCTGCCCTCATGCTCACCCTAGCCCTCACCGTTCCTCTGCTGACTCACAGCAGCTCCAGAATCGTCTTTGGTCCTTTCTTGATGATGCATGTTATCTGTTCTTTACTTCTGTTGGTTTTGACAGCTTGTTTTGTTCTTCTAACTGCCTTTCATGAGCAGGAATCTTGTTGCAATTTCTGTCAGGAGTCCCTTCCTCCCCTACACATACACACACACACACACATAGACACTTAACTTTAATCCCTGACCTCTCATTCCTGCCTCCATTATTGCTGTGAATTGTTTCTTGGCATCAATCCACTCCTCCTCCTTTTGGTTCCTCTTCTACTTTGCTGGGTTTTATAGACTCCATCATTTTCCACTCAAGTCTCTTTCACTGAAGGTCACTGAGGGCACATTCTGGCAGATACAGCCATAGTGCAGTCCCCAGCTCCCTATCAGACACCTCAGCAATGCCCTGAGATTTTTTTAACATTCTTTCATAGTAGCCTGCAGGTGCCTCTGGACTCGTTTCAGACATCTCATTCCTCCCAGCATCCTTGTTTCAGATTTTTGGCAGAAAGTGATTTTGGCCTCAGAGGCACCCCAGCACCAGGGGTGTACAGCTCCCAGTGTGCCCCAGGGCTCGACAGCACAACTGCCTAGAAATGCAAGTGAAGCATGAAGTGCTGCTCTTTCCACCCTCCAAACAGAGTAATGCACAAAGCAGCAAACCACTGAGAAAAAAAATCCATGAGTTCATAAACAGGACTGATTTTTCCTGAAGACTTCCTAGTTCTCTACAGAAAGGAGACCTCAGAGTAGCAGCTCCCGGCCCTGCTGTCGGTGCTGGGGTGCTGGCAGGAGAGGGAAGCAGTCAGGGGTGAGATGGATGCAGAACACTGAATGAAGGATGCTTCATCCCCTTTCCTGTGCCTGCACAACGAGCAATTAATACTGCTTGGGCTGTGACTATCTCAGCAAGAAGATATATATATATATATATATAACCCAAACACTCACTATTCAGAGAAGAGCTAGGAATAAATCTCTGCAGCCTGAACATTGCTGACAACATCATCCTGGGCATTTGGTACTCTTTTCCCAGGGGTCTTTGACAGTGAGAATAGCCCCAGCCATGCCTTTTCCATACCCTTGTCCAACCTGAATTCTGTGGGCAGAAAAGCAGGATGGCTACTGGTCTTTTTATGTCCTCAAGGCTAAAGATTTTATAAGCCAGGAGCATATGCATCAACTTAATCAGTCTCTCCTGCCTTCTCACCGATGCTGCTGCTCTGTCCTGCACAAGCACCAAGGGCACACTCAGTCTGGAGGGGTGGCCCCTGCCCCAGCAAACAGTGTCTGGATTGAGTTTGGCTGTCTCCCACCTCCTCTGCCCCCCGCCCAGGGGCAATCAGGGCCCGTTATACACTCACATACCCAAGTCCATATCGGCAGCTTTGGGCCGGTGGGAGCAGGGCACATTCTTGAAGATGGCATCGAGGATTTTCTCCTTGACCTGCGTGATGGTGTCACAGTTCAGGATCTTCACTGGGATCTCAGGGCTGTTCACGTTGTCAGGGTTCACGCAGCTCAGGACCTGAGAGAGAGGCAGTGAGACCCACCACACATTTCACTGCAGTACAGGTAACCCGTGGCTGCCCTCCTTCAGGTCCCTGCATCCTACCAAGCCAGAAGGATCTAAGGTGTAATAAGAGGAAAAATGTATACCAAGAGTATTCCCTCCTTCAATAGGGCACAGAGATCTGGTTTCACACAGGGGGATTCCATGCATCCATGCCTGTGCTGCTCTCAACCCCCTACCACTGTCTGTGCCCAGTGAATTAAAGACAACTCAGCATCTGGCTCTCAGCTAAGTGCTGTGGGCTCCCCGATGTTGCTGCCAGTGACTTAGGGCTGATGTGAAGGATTTTCTAAACTTTTGTCTCATGTCATTATACCTATACCTGTGGAAACAGCCCCTTAGATTTGAGCTTCATCACCCTGGCATCTTCACTATACTTAAAAAGCCCACGAACACCAGCTCAGGTTCTGGTGCTTTCAGTAAAAACAGCATTCACCCACATGGTACTAGAAAATGGTCACTGACACACTTTTCATAGAAATCATTACAAACGCAATCAGGCCTGACTCTGTTTGGAGCTGAGCTGATGATATCCAAAGGGCTCTCCAGAGATTTCCTTGGCCTCTGACCTATTCCATGCTCCCTAGAGATCTGGCAAGGTGACCTAGTTCAGTAGTGGCCCCCTTGCATTGCCACCTGACTTTGATCATTCAGGTAAAAGTGCTCTTTAATCCCTCAGCCTTACGTTTGTTCCATCTTCCCCACAGCCATGGGACTGACCCAGACCCTTCTCAGAAGAATGTTATTAATTTGAAATGCAGGGCTTCTTAAAAAATTAAATACAAACCAACAACAACTTCTGCTTTCACATATAGAACAAAAAAATTGACCCAACTAGAGAGGCATCTCATTTCTCAGGAGAATGTAATTTTCTCTAAAGACTCTGCCGAGTGTAAACTCAAAGCATATAAGGTGGGGAGGGAGGGATACCTTAAACACACACAGTGTCTGACTGCTAACTCTTGGCCATGTCTATGTCAAGGATTCTGCTCTCTTCTGGTTACAGGAGTGTGAAGTCTATAAACTTTTACAAACTTAGCACACCTTAGCACTTGGAAGGAATGGTAACTGATGCTCCTGTCTATATACGGTCATTAAATATTCCTGTGCCACTTTTAAAAGCATAGACATGGAAGTTTTGGTGCCTTAGACAAATTCTACCTGACTGTAAATTCCCTTTGGTAGTATGCAATAGGTACTGGACACTCCATCACTTTTCATCTTAACATACTAAGATGCAGTGGGATCTCAAAGTGGCTTGAAACTGGGTGAAATCACATCAGTATAATTATATATTGGCTCACCAGGCTCCCTTTGGTGCTGTTATGATCAGCTAAGAGGGACTTGTGAAGATATCGCTTACAAAGAGCTCTGTGATCTTTTTGGATGAAAGGGGAGATGTAAATGCAAGATATTGATTAGAACATAATGCTATTATTTATATGTCACTTCCAGGAGTATTGAAGAAGCATCAATTCAGATAATAATAACAATGGCACAGATTTACAGTTCTGTGGCATCTTTCATCTCAAAGGATCACAGAACTATACATAAAAAGCACTGTTGAAATGCATCCAGTGTTGAGGTTATCCCATTACACATCTGTAGGGAAATGAAGCAGCGATGGAAGTCTAGGATGCTCTTTTGAGAGTGCTATGGGGGTCACACGTATTTCTGGAGACCAAGTTACTCTACAGGTCTCTCTCGGTGATCTGAGCTCGGCTGAGGTGAAATGAGCTAATGCCAGTCAGAGCAAGCTCTGTGGCGTGATCTGTCTCTGATGCAAACACTTGGGGTTGAGTTCAGCTCCTTAGAATAATCTGGGCTATTCTGTCAGACCACCATCTTGTCCAGAAGACCCAACATCTCCTGCAGGTGCTGAGTAGTGCCCACCACACCAGTACCCACCATGCAATGTGCACCACCATCCAGCTGGAAGCTGTCAATGGTGATTTGTTCTCATTACTGGTTGTCCTTGAATTTCACAGGGTGTCAACTTTGGAAGGTGGAAGGAAAACTCTGCCACAATCTGAGTGAGCCATGATCATTCATCCCCTGACTACAGTAGTCCTTGCTTTCCTCTTTTCCAGCTCAGCTGGAAGAACATGGAACAGGGAAGGCAATATTTTAAAGTGTTGCGCAGAGAGAAATTTTCTCTTAGTGGATTGATGGGGGCAGCTGGTAATACCTGTAAAGCCCTGAACTCCAGTGTGCTCATTTCAGTGACAGTCAGGAAGCTCCTTTCAACATTTTAGGCAATTCAAGCATTGGTTATAGAAACCAGCACCCTTCCCAGAGCACTGTGGCTTTGACATATATTCCCCAGGCTTCACATCAGCTCTCAGTTGGTATTTTCCAACTGTTCTCTTGTGGAGCACTAAACCTTTCTCAGGACAAAAACTTCAGGAATTTTGCAGGGTGCATCTGTGTATTGCACAAATTAAGAAATAGCTGTTCTTTGGAGACTGACATGGGCCCTACAGAAGTCATCCTTACACCACAGATTGAAAACCTCTGCTCCCCTTCCAACAGACTGAAGCTCCTAATTGTAATGAGGTGTTTACAATGGAGAAAGAAATTCCCATCACTTCTGTGGGAATTCTCCAATGGTTTACTCTGTTGTCACGCCAGGCTTCTATAGATTGTCCCTGGTAGGGGATGACCAAGAGAAAAAAATAAAAAAATCTAAACATTGGCTTCATTGCTTGACTTAGCAGAGTTCAGATGCTCCAGTTTCACTGGAAGAGTGAGGTTTGTCCTGTGCTTCCACCCAGAGCTGTCCTCATACCAACCAATGTAAGACAGAACTAATCCCGCTGATCTCGCAGTGCTGCTCAGCTACGTCAACACAATCTTTGATGTCAACTGGTGGAGAAGAAACCCCTGAGATGGCCTGTGTTGTATTCTGATATGATTAGTCACTCTGAGGAAAGTTTCATTGCTCTCCTGAATGCATTTACTGTTACAGCTCCATCACCCACCACCTGCCTTCGAGCCACGTGGGGCTGAGCTAGCAAGGTGGATGGAGGGGAGAGGAGACTTTAGTGTCACTCAAGGAGGTGCTGAATGTTTTGCCACTGAGAGGACACCGGCACTTGGCACTGCTCTTCTGTCATGCATTGAGGTCTGTGCCTGTTGTGGGGTCAACATGAAAAAGTGTGGGACTGGGAGCAAGCAGAACAGTAATCTCTGAGCCCTGCTGTCCCACTGTGCAGGACCTTGGGGCATATCACCTCACTGGATTTGTGTTTATTGACTTTTTTCTACTTCTTTTTTTTTTTTTGTCTGCCAGCCCTTCCAGTCATGATCTGTCTCTAAGTGTGTATATATATATATGCAATGCTTAGCACAGCTAAGCCCTGATCTCCACTGCAGATTACTGGCATTTAAATAATAAAGTCACAGCTTGTGATTACTCATGTGGCTCCCTGGCTCTGAGTTCTCTGCAGTGATTGAGTGGTCTGCCCTGAGACCAGGACAGACATCTTTCTCTCCCTTCTAGATGGGCTAAAGAAGGTTCAAGGGGCCAGCATACAGCAAGGCTTGGCAGTGAATAAGTAGAAGGATCCCCCAAAAAGCCAAGCACAGAAGAGCCTTCTTGGTACTGGATCCCTCCCCGATATCAAAATTCCCTGAAAAGCCTTAACCAAAGGCAGATGAAAGTATCTTTATCCATCTAGAATATGTTGTCAGGAGAGATGATCTGATTAGGCTCTCAGCACTGGAGCTGCCGAGGTGTGTAGGGACCACGCAGAGCCATCCACTGCTCAAGATGTACCGGGCAGCTCCTGCCTACCACCCCCAAGCACTAATTAGCCAATACTCTTGACAGCTTCTGACACACATCAAGATCTTTGCTCCCCTGCATTATTTGTATCAACAGAAATGAGGCTGATGCAGGAGATGGATGGTCTTTCATCAACCAGTGACAGCAGAGCAGTGGCAGTAGGGAGTGAGGTTTTTGCATCTGGACTCTGGTTTGGTGAATGGTTAAAATATCATGGATTCTGGCAAAGGCAGATGGCAGTCAGCAGGGATGAGATCTTCCTGTCTCTCATAGACGGAATAATCTAGCTGGGTTTTTAATAACACTGCAGACCAGAGATGATGAGCGCTGACTGCTAGCAAAAACATTAACACAAGAGGGTGTTTCTCTGGAAAAGAGAGAAAAAGACAGCTTGGGAGAAGACCTACTGTTTAGTTGTAGCACATTTATTCTAGCAAATCACCTCTGTAACTAGCTTGGTTTCTACTGTACGGAAAAATACCTTGTAAGTACAGAAATTGTTACAGACTGCAAAGACTCTAGGATATTGAGGCTGCTTCCCTGGAGAACTGTAGGACCTGGCAGACAGCAAATCGGAGCTATCTGGTTGTTCAGAAAGAAATCAGACCAAAACAATCTAAATTTAGTGAATGAGGTGTGTACTATAACATCAGTAATTCCAGATGTCTGAAAGTGCTCTGTCGTCTTTTTTTCTCCCTGGATAAGTCAATTTCTTTGGATCTGCTTTTTACTCAAACCATATTTGAAACCATGACTTGAAGTATTTGGTCATGATTAATGAAGGTAAAAAATAAATGCCTTCCAAAAGAAGCCCTGGCCTTGTCTTTCTGGAATAATGACAATAAACAGCCTGTTTCACCATGCCACGCTGCTGGAATTGTGATGTCACTGAGTCGAGCGGTCATCTAGCACTCATGAAACATGCACAACCCAATGAATTTGAGCCATGCACACTGCAAACTCACAGTGGTGACCATTTGGTAGAGAGCAGGAGACAGCGAGGGAATTCTATATTACAAATACTGAATCAGCTCTTGCTTAATTTCATTATTATATACTTTTAATAAAAGATGATAGACTGCTTAAGGAAGGACAAAATAAAACAGAAATAAAGAGAAACAGAAAGGAAGAACAATCCTATTCATATTCTGCTTCTTCTTAATCTCCTTCACTGAAGCTGATCTCTGTAAATCTGCTGAGATTCCTATCGGGATATATTTGTCTGCTCTTGAGATGTAAGAGGGAGAGCTGATTAACATCAAACGACACAAAGCGAATGGAGGAGAGCTTTGTTCAGGCTGATGTATAATTACTACCCTTTGCTGGCTGCTTTATATCAAGCCTAAATGGATCGGAGGGATTTCCTTTGGTGAAAGTGATCACTCTGCGTCTGCATTTTCATTTTGCTCACTCTCTCCGTGTGAGATCAGGCCTCCAAATTGCTAGACAACCACACATGACAGACAAGAAGCACTACACTGCTGATTTAATAGGAAAGTCACGTTTTTAATATGCAAAATAAAATTGTGGTCTTATTAAAGTCTACCCCCTCAATCAGACTTTGATTCAACCAAAGCTCAGGTCTAGACTGTAGTTACGGAAGAAAAGCCAGCATTTGCAGCATCAGCCCAGCTGAGCTAAAATCTAAGAAGGGTCAGGAAGAAACATTGACTGGACACAGCTCTCAAAGCTAGCTAAAGTTAAGTGAGATTACTGTCCCTCGGCTGAAGGTGCAGATAAAATAATCCGATAAATTCAGAGCATCTTCTGACCATCCTAAAATTTGGGGTTGGGGTTTTCCAAGAACAAAGACATGGGAAATAAAGAAATGACAAGGATCATTGAAGACTTGGAAAGTGTTCTTCATCCCACAGAGACTTAGAAGCTTAGTGGATTTAGTGTATTCAGGAAAAAGTAAAGGCCCACAAACACACTAAGAGATATCTAATGCTCTTTAATTGACGTTCTTTAATCAAGTGGGGAAAGGGTGTAATCTCGGAGTAGAAGCTAAAGCTGGACATATGCAATGTATATCTTTCCCCATGCAGAAAATTACATTTTGAAGCAAATAAGTCGGTGACAGGGATTAATTTTCATTCTCTTGAAATCTTTAAATCAGGTTCATTTTTCTTTGACTTGTTTGCTCAGGAGGAATCTCTGCATTAGCTCTAAAGAATTCCTAATAGTTCCTTCCATTGTGTACCTCTACATATTCCTTGATGATGAAATCTTCATGAGAGAAACAAATTTTTTAATTTTCTTTTTCTGGTGAGGATTATTCTAGAGAATGTCCTTGCAATATAGGCTCATAAAAAACATTTTTGCTGTCACTTGCAGAAAGCCATGAGCTTTGCACTGACCCGACACCACAGGGGCCCACAGGACGTCTCTGTGCTTGCCGTGCCCTGCGCTGGGTGTCCCTGGGATCACAAGTGTGATCCCCAAGGACCTGCCTGAGCTCGGCGCTGGGGACACCCCCATGGCCAAGGGCTGCCGCCCCGGGCAGGCCCTGCCCAGCAAACACCAGCCCTTGGTGTGCCCGGGCTGGCGCTGGGCAGCTCTGCCACTGGGGCTGGGCAACAGGCGGTGGGGAGAGGGGGGGTGAAGGTACCCCTGGGGGAACCTGAGAGCGAGGAGGAAGAAACCCCACCATGGACATCACACTGCTGCCAGGGAAGAGCTCAGGGTGGTGACAACTTGCAGTGACAACCTCACCTTCCTGCTGTTGCCTTTGACTTCCAACTCAGAGGGATGTTGGAAGGGTGGGTAACGCTCCGGGGAGAAGGGGTAGGTACTAGGAAGCATTTTGTCTAACAGAACAGAGCAAACTGCCCATATCTATTGTCTTTACATTCACAGGCATATTCATGACGCAAGGTTCATGCTTGTCTCCCAGTGGTCCCAGACCTCACCTAATCCAACCCATGGTAAAGGATCGGCACTGACAGCCTACTCTACAAGGAGTTCAGACGCTTTCAGAGAACAGCAATGCATTTGGGGAGCTCTCAGATGCTCTGGGCATGGGGCAGGGCACAATGGAAATAACTTGGAAGCAGCCAACTTTGCAAACATGTTTGCAAGCAGATGCTTCAGACACAAACCTTGCTACGTTAGGGGATGCAACTAGTCAGTCTTCAGCAGGGTTACCCCGTTGGGTTGCAATAATAAATTGTCCCAGAGGGTCAGCGTGCCCATCACTGGCTTCTTTTATCTAAATCCCCTTTTGTTAAAAGAGGCTGGACAATCCCATAGGAAAGTGTGCTCAGAGCACTCACCAGTGTCTTGTAATCAATCTGCTGTCGGATAAGCTTGTCCTCACTCAGTGAGTACCGGGCCTCCCCAGTGATCGAGTCGATGGGACCCTTTTCCATTTGCTGCTTGATGGCACAGAAAAGGGAGAACAGAGGTTCGCCAGCACACTCCTGTAGGGGTGAGAGAAAACCATGAGGTGAAACAGGAGGAGCAGAGGTGAGAACCCAACATACATTACACCTCAATGACTGCCATGGCTTGCCGTCCCCAACCACTCGGGACAGATGCATCAGTGGGAATCAGTCCATGAACAGAAGTGACCTTCCACTTCCACAGGGTGTAACTAGCACCCTTGAGTGTCCTGTCATGGGACAAAGGTGTCAGTGCTCCCTGGCCATTTTGGAGCTATCAGAGCCTTGTTCAAGTAATTGCCACCAGGCCAGAGCTTTGCAGTGGAGCAGGTGGTGGGGAAGGTCCCAGAGGACCTGAAGACAGGTCTGAAAGAGAGATGGATGGCTGGTGCCCCACACTGAGTGTCTGGGCAGAGCCCAGAGTCTCCCTGAACATTCTCATGGTGGAGGCAAATAGGGATGCTCAGGCAGGAGCAGCTCCCAGGGAAGATGTGCCCCTGGATCTGGATGGTTGCATCAGTGACATCAGATGTGTGGGGCGGGGCCCAGCACAGGACAACAAGAAGCAGCCCACAGGCATGGCCAGCAAAGCACACCTCTCCCTAATTTCTCCTTCCCATTCTTCGCACTCATAGCACTGATCAAACGTTTTTCTAGGCTCTCCTCCCTTGCTGCTCTCCCCCTGGACATTTGCTGCCACGTGCCCCTCCTCACACTTTGTTCTATTGCCTCCCTTCCCCTTCATCTCCCGGTCCTTCCTCCCCTCCTCCACACCTTGCCCTCTCCTCTTTCAGTGTGTCCGAACTCAATGAGCAAGGTCATTTTCCTCTGGTGTAAATCCCAGCAAAAACAAGTTAATAATCTGAAGCAAAGTGGCCCCTTTCTCAGTTCCTACACCTGTCTCCCACTTAATTAGCTTATCTGCCAGCAGCATATTGCTTCTGTGTGCCTGTCTCTTGCCCTTATCAGGCCTCTGTTCAGGCTAAGGCAAGAAGACAAGTAGCTGAGTGGGGTGAAAAAAGCCTATTATAAAAGCAGCTCTTAAGAGAGTCACCTCCTTATATCCTTTCCTTTCAGCTGAAAGCAGGAATCTGATACTGAAGTCACTGAAATTACCTTCCAGGGACCTTCAAAACTTTCCCATGCATTCATCCTTGGACTGGTTGTGCCTGGGGAAGGCTCAGGGAAATGGATTGATTTGTAAAACCTTGAATTGCCAGGCAGAGCCTGGCTAGTCTGTCCAAATGGGGCTGTAAGGTGTAAGGATATCTCGGAACTGCACTGGGAGTGGGGAGGAGGTGCAGAGCCCAGCTCCTTCCGAAAAGGCTGGCTCTGAGTTTGGTGCCTTGGCAGATAGCATGCTTGAGGCATCCTGTGGGTCCCCAAGAGGAAACTGCCATCAGCTGGGAGATCTCAAAGGCTAAAAGACTTTTTTTTTTTACTAAACACCAGCCCAAAAACACCCTCCAGGAGGAACACAGGGTCTCAGGGGATGTCTCAAGTCCTTTCACGCTTTTGCTGATGAGTGTCCTACAAAGCCAATGCCTCCTCCCACTGAGATACAAAGGAGCAACAACCTCAGCCCGTGTGGGTTCTGGATGCCGCAGACAGGTTTACACCATGTATTGCATCCAACCCTCTGTGCTCAGAGGGTGAATGGCGACGCCCAGGGCAGGCTTCAGACAGCCTAATGCCAAGAAGAGCCTAGGCTCAGGCCTAAAGCAGGGATCTGGTTACAGTGTGCATAAAGCAGATAAGTACGATGGAGGCACTGGGTGTGATGGAGGCACTGGGTCTCCGTACTGCCTCTGAACTGGGGTTGGGGGAGATCTCCAGACACTATGCAGTGAAAAAATGGGTCACCACGTGTTGGAGATCTGAGTCTGTTAGTAAAAGGAGAGCATTTTCAATATAGATCTCCATCAGGCTCTGAAATCCTTCATGTTCCAGCACTGACACTTAGATCCCACCTCTGTGCAGGAGTAAGACCATCAGGCTGCCTCTCTAACAAAGCGTCTCTCTGTTCTCCCTGGATCAGAAAACATCCCCTCTCCCATTAGGCAGTTGAGCTCCCTTCAGAGAAAAAAAAACTTTTCCTTTACATCTGGGAAGTTTTTGTCCCTAGCAAACCTCACCCTAGTAAACCTCACCAAGAAGAAATGTATTAAAGCAGCTGTTCATTCAGGCATGCCGCTCCTCTTACCTTGAGGAACTTGTACAGAAGGAAGGTGAACCAGTTGGTGAGCATTTTCTCAGCCACAGACTCTGTCCTAAAATCAGCCAGGGACAAAAAGCAAATTGGAAATGAGTTAATCAGGCTGGTCGTGTCAAAGGACTAGTCAAAAGATTGGCCTTGTCTATGTTACTCTGAGCCCCATGGAAAGTCTGGCATGACACCATCAGGTCTAAGCACATCCTAGTTTCTCTGTTTTGGCTTTGGATTTAGGAAACCTGCAGGCAAATCCTTATTACCCTGTCCTCTGAATAGGGAATTCACTGTATGTCTGGTTTTCAGTTTCTCCATCAATGAAAGGGAGATCACAGTGTTTAAGGGAACCTTCTCAGAGGAGCTCAGGAAGGATAAATCCATCAAATATGAGGAGCTCAGAGTTAGGCCATATGAGAAGCAGGCTGTATAAATACTTGAGAAGACAGACAGATCTATATCACCAGAGAACAGCTAAGTGGCACTGACTATCTCCCTGGCATTTGAGAGTGATTATACTCCTCACTGTGGCATATTCACAGAGTTCATCCTTCTGTCCTTGAACACTCTGTCCTCAACCAAACAAAAATCCATCTTGAGTCTTCAGGGTGAACTTGTCCTACAGAATGACTGACTCAGACCTGTAAATGTGGTGTGGGCACCATGAGCACAGGACAAACCTGTGTTGGCTCCAGTATCCGCCCCGGTGTTGCTGAAGAAGAAAGCAGGAGTCCCTGCTTGGATGAATTAAAGTGGGTTTGCCTTGTCCTGGCTATCACCAAAGCCACGCAGGGTTTCTCACTCAGGACTGCAGCCTGCCTTTTAGGTTCCCTAGTCCTTCAGCATAAAGTTGATCTTGCTTCCTCTGGAGCATGGGACTGGTGAGGGGAAGGGTTTCCATCGCTGGCACTGTATGTGTGGAACCAGTCAACAACTTCACCTGAAAGCAGTTACACCAACACGGAGCAGGTGACGGCCCCTTCCCTAGCTAAAGGCAGTTGCTCTTTAGCCTGGTTTCCATTGGGATTTCTCTGGTTATATGGGCAAATCTCACTTAGATGATGGGGATGGTGGGGCGGAGGAATGATAGTAGGGGGTGTTTTCTGTCGCTCCTCTTCTCTTGCCTATAACTGGAGAAAGAGGTGATAAGGTCCCAGTTTGCTAACAGATTAATGCTGTGTTTCTTCTGTCTACAGTGATCACTGCTGTGTCGCTGCCTAGGGACTGCCTCTGTCCAAACCAGCCTGTTTGCCCTGTATTCCACTCAGTCAGTGTCACCTAGACACTGTCCTCCATGGGTCATGGTACCGTGTTCAATTCCAGCAATCCCCACGATTATCGTGCTCTGAGCTCCTCACAGGGAACATTGCCCAGAAGAGTGCTCTTTCCAACACTCCCTGGCGTGACACCTGGGCCCCATCACATGGTGCAAATTTAGCACTACCATGAGAAAAACAACTGAAATCCCATTATGTCGTTGCTCTCTGCCCTGACAACTTTGATCTCTTTGAGGCTGTAGATGTCACGTGGGTTGAACGCTGGACACAGGTAAGGTGGGAAAATCATTCCAGCCACTGCCTTTCTCCTGTCAAATACCCCCAAAACCAACACTGCAGAAAGGTGTTGGAAGATTCCCTTCCATTCACAGACTCACAGAGAGGGATGGGAAGCACCGAGTTGAATCCAGCTGCTCCAGTTGTTGTCTGAGAACCTCACACCAACATCTGACCCCAGGCACTGAGCTATTCACATGTTCACCAGTAGACTTCTGGTGCCGCTCAGTGCAGGACCTCCATCTCAGAGCACAAACCACATCTCTGACTTATTGTGTTTTCAGAGCTTGGAACAGCGGAGGTGCTTTCTTTGTTCACTGGCTCTCCTTCCAAAGGCCACATTTCATTTCCAACAAAGAGGACTAGAGTTAGAAAAGAGCTGGAAGAAGGAGAAAGAGGTAAGATGGGATGCTCAGGGCAAGACAGGAATGAACAACCAGGGAAGATAAAGAGATGGAGAAAGGGCAAGAAAAAGGAAAAAATGAAGGGAGGGGACAGTTGGAAGGAGGCAGTGCCATCCAGTATCAGAGGAGAAGCACAGAGAATAAGCCTGGGGACAGCTGGAGGGAGGTCACCAGCTATGCTGTAGGGCTTGAATAACATCAGGGAGTCAACTGACACCAGAGCAAGGTCCAGGCTCTGCCCCTGGCATTGCTGCCCTGAATGCCAGGAATTGCCTTCTGTTCCCCTTTTTGCTGGTTCTCCGTAGTGGGCTGTGTGCCAGATGAAAAGCCTCCCAGCAAGTGACACAGATCTCTTCCCTGCCCAAGCTGTCCATTGTAATCAGCTGAGGGCTTCTCGGAGTTGACTCTGAGCAGTGGCAAAGGCTGTTTATCTCCAGAAGACTCCCCCTGATTTTAGTTAGGGTCCTTGAATCAGAAGGATTAGTTCAGACTGTGGAGAGGAGATGAATGTTATCCTAAGGGGAGAAGAGGCAGAATTTTGCTGGGCAAAAAAAGCACATTAATTAAGGAGCAATAGATTTCTAATTCAAAGGTTCCCATAGAACTGTGGAGTTTAGACCTTAGATCTGGTCAAGAAGCACCGATCCAACCTTGTGCCCTGTATGAAACCAGTTCTGTTGTCCTGTTCAGCTCTTCTACTGGATTCAACAAGCTCCCAGCACCATTGCTCGGGGAGAGACAGGAGATCCCACAGTGAGCTGAAGAAGACTCTCCATGTGCCCCTAGTTAACTTATGAACAAGAAACAAAAGCAGGGCAGTCCATGCCCCAGGCAGGAGATGGCAGCAGCTGACTTACTCACCAGGGATATAATACAGCCTGTTCTATGCGATGTACTTACAGGTCCTACACAATGCAAGTGGAGTTTTCAGGTTAAATGGAAACATAAACATAAATTAATGTCTTAAGCACACAGAGTCCAAAATAAAGATTTAGGAAGCATGGGCTCTTGCTGCCCTTATGAAGCTTTCTGGATGATCCATGATAAAATTCAGGGGTAGTTTAGTTCTGTAGCTTTTAATCAATGACTACTTTTTAGTTAGGGAGAAGATGGAGCAAAATCTACAGAAGCACTTGCTGAAAGGCAAGGAAATGCAGAGAGGTTATTGAGAGGAAGAGGAGAGCCCTCTAAGAGAAGGGATGCTCTGTCAGGGACTCTTAAATGAGCAGGGAACTGGAAAGGGAGAGCAATTCAGTCTTCATTCAGCCCTTCTTGCCTTTTTCAACCCTCTCTGCAAACAGCTTCATGCCAGCCCTGTGGGGTCACGTGAACTGTGGCTGTATACCATCCTGATTTCACACCCTGCTGCACAAACAAAAATCAAGCAAATTTGCACCATTCCTCCGAAGATGACTAGCATGCTTCTGTTCGACAGTGGGGCACAAGCTGCCCAGGCCAGCTCACTCCAGCCCCAGACACTACTTACCTCCGGAGCAGCAGCTTGGGGTGGTTCTTGCTCTCCAGATTTTTGTCTATGAGGTCGGCCAAGAGCTGTTTGAGGACGTCAGTCGCATACTCCAGCTTGCTCTGCAGCACCGTCATGATCAACGAGGCCACGTTGCCACGGTCCCGCATAGAGAAGCTGCGCTGGGACTCCAGTGTGCGGATGAAGGACAGCAGGAAAACCTTGTTGTTGATGAGCTGGGCAAAGAGCTTCAGGCCTTTCTCCACCCGTTCCTGTCTATAGCCAGGGACCTGCGCAAGAAGAAAGGGAGTTTGTACCTTTCCCTCACTACCCACTGTCAGACCTCCCCACATGGGTCACGTACCCTCTGCTAGCTCTCTGCCCTCATCCCTCCAGCTCCTCCAACTATATACACTTCCACATCAAGAAGAAGTCAGTTCTGAGAAAGGAAAAAAGCACAAGCTGCTTCAAACAGCAGAGACAATTAAAAAAATATAATCTTAAATCTAGCAGGCAGGTGAGTCTTTCCTTCTGCATCACAGGATAGTCCTGTAAAAAGGAAGAGAGTTCACACGTCATTTAATGATTAGGAAGCCTGAGAGACCTCCTAGCCACAGCCAGATGATTCTTTTCCAATCCTGTGTTTCCCTCTCTGAACAGTACATCAAAAAGAGATTGTTAGTACCTAGATGTGGCACCATACCATGTTATATTTTTATTGTAGTCAAACCGAAGTCTCACTCTATCTTCACCTAAAACCTCTTTTTCATCCCTGCAAGAAATCTGCTTACAGAGATTTGGGGTTCAGCTTTAAGAAGCTAGGAGAGGCAGTAAGAAAGTGAATGGGGAAGAGAGCCCAGGGTCAGGTTTTGAGGAGATGCAGGGATGCAGTGAGGCAGTGGCTGAGATAGTGATCATGCAGCTGGGCCTTGGTTTGAAGAAACAGGTAGATGAAGGTGTGAGAGGACACCCTGAGCTGGGACCTGTCTTGGAGGTCCCACTGCAGTAGGACCCCTGGACTTGGGAAGTGAGATGGTTTGGACACAGGGAGGTTGATAAATCTCTAATACACCTCTCAGCTTTTAAAGGCTGGCAGACAAGTTTTTATATAGGACAATTTAGGACAGTGGGCTCTTACCCTTTCCGGTCCTTGTGGCTCTAGACAAAAATGCAGCCTAAATAGAGAATCCCAAACTCATTCCTCCATGTTGCTGAAGCTGTTCCAGCCCTTGAAAACCTTCCCTGGAAGCTGGAGGGTCTCAGTATAGAGCAACACATGTCACTGAGGCATGCACGTATCAATAACCAACCAGATTTGGCTCTTCAATCCAAAACAAGTTGGCATGCTTAAACAACCAAGTAATGCAAGGCTCCTTAAAGAGTCATTACTTTTTCATTCTGGAAATTAGAGCTCTTAACTCTTTTTGCATACAGCCAATAAATTACTCAGTAAATAGCTTGAGACAACCAACCAATCAACCAACAAACCACTACCACCCGTCCCGCCAATAATTATTTTAACTCACTTGCTTGAGCATTTAATATTGTCTATCCCCAGGTTATTATGGAGAATTAAAAAAAAAAAAAAAAATCCAAGAAAAAAATATTTTGTACTGCATCTGGAAGCAGTTAATTAGCAAATGAACTGGAAAAAAGTAAGACCTGCTCACTGCAGGATCTATGCTGAGGCCTTTTGCACTAAATAGTGACTCCTAGGTGCTACAGAGAAGGAAGCAGAATGGGAACTGCCTTCCCTGATATGTTGGTAGCCAAAGACGTTGATGCTGAAAGAGGTGTTGAAGCTTTACAGAGGATTAAGGGAGTGGGAAAAAAAATATATGAATGAAAAGAAAGGAAGAAGAGATCAAAGGCAGGAGATTGAAACATTAGCTCTGTGTCTCTCTGTATGTATTTACACATGGAAGCATCCATGCTAAAACCTCTATAGGGGTCAGATGCTGTTCTGTGGTCAGCTGGCTGAGGCTAATGAATTCAGGGATTGAAATTGGCTGTGGGTGTAATGAAAGTGTTTGTGTGTGTGTATACATGTGTGAGAGAGAGATTCATCACCCCTCATCCCTTGTGCTCATTTGTTGAAGCTGCTGAGCTAGTCTTCCTGAAGGAAAGCGGCTCGAGGCCACTCTATCTGCACCCCAAAGGCAAATATATGCAGCAGTTAGTGTGCAACTCAGCCTTCTACTCAATCCCACAAGTCCTCCTTGCTGACAGATCAGGTTTTTTAATGGTTCTCTCCACACAGTTTGATGAATTTTGCCTCTCCTGAAGGGAAGGAGCAAAGACGAGCAGGCGCTTCTGATTACGCAGCCAGCCAAGCATGGTATTGCCTGCGCCAGCTCCGGCTCCTCTTTTTTTGCCAACTAACCCCAGTCTTGGCCTCCAGCAATCTCACCAGCCCATGCCAGAACCTCTCTGAAGCTCAGAGCTTGCCAAGGACTTTGCAGAGAGCTCGGCCAATGACCTCCCTGGCCTTGGCCACGATGTATCCCCTCCTTCTCCAGCCCAGGTATCCCTAGAGCAGAGCCCATCCATCTGCCAAAGCCTGAAGCAGTTTTGCAGCATGGGCAGACTTCGCCTGGGGTCACATCAAACTCCTTGTAGTCAGTGAGTTAATGAAGGCTGTGTGTAGACCCCAACAGTGCTGGCCAACATCGCACTGTCCCTTCTACCACTGTGGCCTGGAGAGTTGAGGTGGATGAGGCAGATGTGCTGGGGTATGGGCAGACTGATGCTGTGGTTTTCTGACCTCACTGCAAACCACAGAGCACAGCAAAGGTGAACCTCCTTCAGTGACTGCAGGTTATTTCTATAGATGTTGCCACAAAAGAAGGCCTCTGGGTAGTGTGAGTGTGATGTAAATCTGGAGTGACACAGGCAAGTGTGCTGTTCTAACATGCAACTTTTTTTCCTGGCCCCTGCACAGCAGCAACTTATAAATCCAGGCTAAAAAAACCAAACCCCAGCAGGATGAAGTCCAAGGAGAAGCACACAAATAAGACGCTTCCAAATAGATGAGTGATCAAACAGAATATAACATCTAAGATAGCAGCAATCATCTTCCCCTTTCAACTTGGATTTTTAATGCGGTGCTGTTTTGTCCCTGGTAAGACACAGCGTTGTAAACCACCACGTCCCCACCACGGACACAACATCTCTTGCATTCAGGACAGAACAGGGTGGCATGAGAGGAGCCAGAAGTAGGATATGTTGACTTCTTACCTCCAGATCCCTCAGGACTGGATGATCTTCAATGCCAGGGAAAAGCACCCTCATGGTGTAGGTTCGGTAATCGAGGAAAGGGATCCCAGCTCCATCCAAATCGCTTGTCAGCTCGTGAATATCTGTCTGTAGCTCTGCAAAGGCTGACACAAAAAAGGAACAGCTCATGTAGCAATGACAGTCAAGAGCTCCCTCACCATGATAGGAAAGGCCTTCCACCTCACATGCATGACACTAAGGTACAAGTGGAGAAGCAACATGTGGAAAGGAAGAAGAAGGTGGACAACAGCAGTCTCACCTTTCTTGTAACAGAGCCTTTCACCAGGGACATGTTCCAAGGCTCTTTAGGGACTGTGAATTACCAAATGCATTAAGGACAGGGTAGAAGAAGGCTGGACTCTGGGAAAATAGGCAAAGTCTGATTAGATCCAGGCTTGAGCTATACCCAGAGGGCTCAACACTCCTTTTGCTTGTGACATTTTGCCTCCAAGCTTTGTGGATGGATGCCTCTCTTCTACCAGCACTGACACAGCGTCAGCCTTCCTTCCTTATCCTACCTTCTTTGCACTCCAGTGCCACCCTGGACTCCAGGTTGTCCATCTGCATCTGTAGACGCTTGAGGGTGAGGTCGCTTTCTCGGGATTTGCGCTTGTACGCAATCAACACAGCCACGATGAAGATGATGAGCAGGCCACCAGCCACCGCAATGCTGACAATAGCTGGCAAGCTGAGAGGGCTGTCTGGAGAGATGTAGACCATCCCTGGGGAGAACTCCATCCCTCCTACACGAGCCTAGAGGGAAGGCAGGAAAGAGCTGCATTGAAATGGTTGCAATAGCAGGAACACAGAGGAATTCCATCATCTCCCTGTCTAAGGCTAACTGATTACCTCCCCTTGTCCCCCAAGCTAGGCAGATCATGAAGTATTTGAATAGAGAACAGCTTCAAAACACCCAAAATGTCATATAGAAGCAATTCTGTTGACAGAGTGACCATATACCCAACCAACAAAGGACTTGTGGTGAGACAAATCTCACCAGTCCTAATGTTCTGGCTACATGTCAGTTTGGGCTTCATTCTGTGTTTTCCATTCCCTATCCCAAAGACTTATTTTGTGCTGGACAGCCCTGATGGCTCTTAGTCCCAAAATGCACACAGGACACACAGCTCATGGTTAGGGTCTAATGGGTCCTAACCTCACAGCGGGACAGGGGACACCTGACCCAGACAGCTTAGCACAGCATCAGTCAGTAGAGTGGGAATGCAGAAATCAGAGTCACAATTTGCTTTTGACTCTTCAACCAGAGAAGCCACTAGGAGAGGAAAAAATAACTTACAAATAACACAGATCTTGGCCCATGGTCTTTACAGCCCCTCTCCTAGGCACACGTTAGCAGGGTGACTGCAGATGCTCACCAGTGGGACAGAGAACTGAACACGGCTTTCTGCTTTCCATGAACTCCCAGAGGATCTCAGGGCTGCTGTCAGCCTCTGGAACAAGCTGCTGTGTGAGGACCTTGCTTTTAACAACCAGAAATAAAACCCTGCAATCCAACAAAACGCTCTGCTGAAGCAAGTCTGTTAGGAGCCCATTTTTAGAACATGAACACTGGTCCCAACAGTAATCCCACAGAATACCACTTCCTCAAGGCTCCTACAAGGTTCTTCGAGGCTATCTGTAGAGTGGGGTAAGCTTGAGTGGCAGGGGGAAAAACATTGCTGACTAGCCCGAGGTACAATAAGAAGGCTTCTAGGACTGTGCTGTGGTAGGTGAACATTGGTTATAGATGAACATAAAGTTAGGAAGGTGCTGTGCAAAGAGCTTGAAGGATGGTGACATGGATCACTTCACCCCAGCTGAGCTTTGTCACAGAGAGGCACATCAGGCCCTGCACAAAGTGCAAAATCTTGCTGCCAGGCAGAAATGCAGTCAAGACCCCAGGATTACATGCTTCCTCTTCCCACTGCAACTGGGACCATTGCAGCAAGCAATTGAACCTTTTTCTTTCTCCTTTATGAGGAGCTTTCCCTCACCTTTACAGCTCCCACAGCAGCTAGTGAAAACATCCCCCACATCCGAGCCTGGTGACTAGCCTTGTCCTTCATCCCACTGGCCCTCAGTTGATCAGTCTGTCTCCAGCCTGCCTTCATACACATTAATCCCAGAGCTCCCACGCCTCAGCTCAGGCACCTACTCAGGTTTCCTCTCTAGGTTGCAGGAGGAAGAAACTAGCCCGAGGAGGAAGGGTTAGAGCCAACAGAAGAGACTATGTGGCAAAGAGTCAGGAATTAATGAAAAATTTTTCAGATGCTCTCGCTCCTCATTATCTCAACCCTTGCTGTGGACATGAATCTCTGTGACCCCACCATCTCCTAGAAAATACTCTGTCCCCAATTACAGCCTCTGAGATGTCTGTTTTGCTCTAGCACCAGCCGTAGGCTGTTTCTCAGTGGGTCCTGGCCAAAGCCACCTAGCTGTAACCCCTACATCTTGGACAGGACAAAAGTGAATGTCTGGAAATATCTGATTTCTATCTACAAGGTCCTCTCAAGACATTTTGGGTTGGACTCCAGAAAGATAATAATGTCCATGGTGAGAAATGAAACCAAACCAGGTAATAGACTTGCAAGATGACCATTCCTGTACCATGACATTGATGACTTGAAGAGCATCTTCAGTGGCCAAGGAACAACCTAGCACCCATATAAGTTGAGGACACAGCAGTAACTATCCCATCTATTTCAAGATACAAGACTCAACTCACTTATAAAGCCTGCACAGGGCAGAGGCTTGGTATTGGTATGAGAAAACAAACTGCCAAACTCATGTGCTCATCTATGCACTGAAAGCTCTTGCCTTTTGCCCTAGACTACTGTCCCAAACCCTCCCAGCAAATTTGCTCACCAGCTTGCACAATGTCATTCCTGTCACAGTGGATCAATAAATAGGTTCTTTATATTTCATTTTCTGATTCTGACAGAGGCCCTTTTCCTCCAAGCCCTGCAGTGAGGTTAGTCCATTCAAGAAGTATAAAACCAGAATCAAACAACCCCGTCCCAATCCCCAGCACAGGTCCATCTGACTAACATCTAACATCCACATCTGACTTACTTAGACATTACAGCACGCTTTCAGAGTCAATACAGAGAAAAAGCGTTTTTATAATGTGATTTATGTGAGCTGCTTTTGACACCTGCTTTGACATGAGGATGAGATGTTTTATTCAGTGGAAGTTCCCGTTTCTCTCCATTAACTAGGAGGGGATCTAGACTCCTCGAGGTAGGTGCCTAGCAAAGTTAGACCCAGTGTGTTCCTCTCTAAAGCTGGTTTCAACGCTGGGAAGGTCTCACAGTCTGTGAATCAAACTGCCATGATCTGAGAAAAATCTGTCTATTGAACAAGAAAGCCTGCAAGTCTGCAGTATTATTACGAGCGTTTAAAGGAAAAACAAGCAAATACGTTGATATCGACCTAGTTTATTTCTTGGGCCACCAAGTGTTTCTGAAGGAAGCTATGTATACCTTCGAGAAGATTGAATATGAGCCCTCTGTATTACTGAACAACAGTTTGGCCATCTGTTAAGCCTCTTAATCATGATTTTATTCTAAATGGCACTACGGCAGAGCCCAGTTTTCCCCAGCAAAGTCTTAGGGGCCACCTGTAGCACTTCCCCGTTGTGCAAAATGTGACTCTGGTAGTGTCTTTCCTACTGCAAGTTTGCCCTCACCAAATAAGTCTACCTTAGGATGAGATGAAGTGTGCCCTGCACTTCGATTGCTGTATTTGGCCATCTCTCCATTCACTATACAGAGTCCGGTGGGAATCTCCATATGTAAGTGAATACACTAGATACCAGCAACACTTCAAATGTACTCCACTTCTTCATTGCAGACCTTCTCCAACATAGTAACTCATGGATCTTCCTCATGTCTCTTTCTTTTCCTCAGAAAAGAGCTTGCCTCTGAGTTTCAGTCAAACTTTTTTAACCACTGCTCAGGCCTTTTAGGTTTTTTGCTTGTTTGTTTGTTGTTGTTGTTTGGTGGTTTTGTTGTTGTGTTTTTTTTGTTTTTTGTTTGTTGTTTCTTTTTTTTAATATTTAACTCTCTCATTGTATAAAAGATAGCTGAACTTGATCAAAAGCATGTTGACATCAATGTGACAATGTCATTGTCACTGTTCCTTCCCTTAGAAATAACTTCAGCGTTGCAATGGTTGATTCACTCCCATGGTCTCCTCTCAGACTTAGGCCACCTCACTTTGTAAGAAAGGGTTTGTTCAGCTGTTTACTCAAGGTCACACAGTAGATTGTTGGCAGAAACAGGAGGAGGACCTGGGAGAGCTACCTGTCAATTATCCTGACCATCAAAATGACATTCATGTGAAACATGGGGATACACTTTGTACCACCCCAAGCAACAGAGTTGCTGTGCCATGCTGGAGGAGGCATTTCCCAGCCCAGCTGTCCCCTTGTTAAGTTCCAGATGTAAAGTCCATCCTTGAGCACTGGCCTCCATCACAGGTGACCTTCTGTATTTGGTTCCCAGCCCAGACGCTGTCAAAGTGTTGCCTCAGTGTTGGCAGTTGAATGAGAAATCTGTAACTTACTCCTAATGCTGCTTATCAACAGTCTTCAGTGCGATCATCTTCCCATCTTTCCAGCAGCATCTCTTGCTTGATCAGCTTCCTCCAAAAGGGATTATTTCTTTCTCTATGGCTTCACTTAAGCTGTCCCAAGCCACAGGAGCAGGGGACTCTTCCCAATTAGTAGGACCTGACCAGATATTCATCCTCCCTCATCCCCAGAGGTTGATTATTGCTCACCTGACTTTGAGTTTTCTCTCTCTAGGATCGCCTTTGTCCATCTCAAACTAACCACATGTTTAATTATATTCATGAAAATGACAGGGAACATATATTGCCTTGTTCAAAATCTTTGGTATTCACACAGAGACAATCTCTCACTTCATTATTGCTCCTCTTGGAGTGTCTTAATGTGCTTTACAATGCATCAAGAGCCATAGTATATTTGCATGGCTGAAAAGGATTATTACCTCTATTTTCCAGATGACAAACTTTGGCACAGAGAAGTTAAGTAGCCAGTATGAGGTCTCCCAGCAATAGTCACAAATAAGACCCAAAATGGTTACCATAAACTCTCTATTTTCTAAAAATCCCCAGAAAACTTTTTTTAAAGAGCCATGCAATGTGTCTCCATCAACCTCTATGAGTCTCACTGCACTGAAATAAATACATGACAGATACAGCTTTGGGAGGGCAACAGAGAAGTGGAAAATGTTGATCACGAAGAATGAGAAACATTGATCATCTGCGTGCCTGATGTCAGTTTTTAACTTTTGTTTTGTTTCCACCCACATCTCGGTACAACTCAGATGAATTTGCTGATGTGCTGTTTATCAAGCAACATCACTAAGGAATGCAAATTACTGAGAGGAAAGTAAAGAAGGAATTAATACATCAACGTTAAGAGGAGAAGCTCCTGCTGATGTAATCACCAGGTCCATGTTTCACAGGTTCCAGGAAGAAAATGCAAGAGTATACTAAGTTGTATAGATGTCAAAACCTCAAAGTCCAGTCACACTATCATCCATATCCTGCATTTTTTTTTTCCTCCTACATAAAGTCAAATTTGAGCCACCAGCATGTTAGTAATTGCTGGGGACTGTGCTGAATTTAGCAAAGTATGTCATGTAGGGAACATGTTACATATATGAACTCAGAAGAGTATTTGTTTTTCATACAGACAGTACAAAATGAGAAGAAAGGCAAACTTTCCTAAAGGGTCTTGATAATGGAAGGTCTCTCACTGTCCATAAAGATCTCCAGGTTACTCTTCTATTTCTTCAAATTACTCATGATGAGGATATTATATCAAGAAAGGGCCCTGTTATTTATGGGATCTACAGAAGGCAAACGGTGATGTAAGCTCCTGGGAGATCTCTGCCATCTCTTCAGCGTTGGTGTGCTCTCCCAACCCGCAAAGGGAGGAAAGGCTGAGGTTCAGGCACCACTTACCATCACCTTGTGCCGTCCAATGAGGTTTGGAGACTCACACAGTAGCTGCACATCCGATACAGTCACTGCACAGGGCTTCTCACCAACCAAAACAGTGTAGTTCAGCTTGGCATTCCCTCCTGCCACTGGTGGGATCAGATTCTTGCCCTGAATAGAAAGGAATACCACCACCACCCCCAGAAAACAAAAACAAAAACAACAAAAAGCAACAGGTTAGGAAAGAGTTTTCCTTCGACATCTAGTTTGCTCCCGGGACACAAATTTAACATTGCACTTGACATTTGTGGTTCACGATTCACTAACACAGAGAGGAAAAGTCAATTTAGAAAGTCAGGCAGAGGACAGCATGGATGGCTATAGGCTGTCATCAGTCAAAACAGCCTGTTCTGTTCCTCTCTGGAACTAAAAAAGAAATGTTGCATATAGGTCTTTCGCAAACAGACCCTCACAAAACATATCCTGGCCAGTAAAACAGACCCCTGTCCAAACACACAAGAAGGTATTCCGCAGGCACAACCATTTCTTTGCACATGCACCACTTAAAAGTGCTGATATGGAAATGTTCAATCGTGAAATTCCTTCTCTGTACGGCAGTCCAGATTACAGAAATGACAAAGGACTGGTGTACAGTTTAACTGGGGGTGAGAGGAAGATCTTGAAAACCCAAGAAAGGAATAGACAGACTCCTGCAGCAGGAGTTTATATTTTTAAGTTATGGGTATTAGCAAATGCTGGGCAGTGATTCGTGTCTGCAGATGGTGACTCTAATATGACAAGGTATGGTAGGTGCAGCTGGGATGCAATCAGGATGCCACTGTGATCTGTGGGGTGCTAGCAGACATAGACAGGCAATAGGCAGAAGGTTTTTGTCCTTCCTCACCCAGTCCTTGGTCCCTGTCTCACCTTCAGTATGATAGGACTTCCAGGTTTCAGCTCCAAGATCCCCGAAGGATTGAAAACCTCAAAGATTGGGTTTGGGTAGTAGGTGAAGTTGGTTTTGTTGAGAATCAGCAGGGACTGCACGTTGTCAAGAATGAAACCAAACTCCTCTGGACGCTCAGCAAGCTCAGACTGGTGATTGGGGTCAACAGCCAGTGCTGGAGCCTGGCAGGTCATCTCCGTGCTGTTCTGCACCTCGCAGTTCTGGAGAGAGAAAGACGCAACACAAAGAGAGTTTATGGGAAATGCCCCCAGCCCTCCTGGTCAGCAGGTACCTCCCAGTGAAATGTTAGCCTGCCTACTGCTAGAGGACAGGGAGGAGCAGACCTCCTTGGTTTCATGAGGTAGGCTGGTGTTCCACTGCTTCAAAACATACCCCATACCCATCACTCAGTCAAGGCTGGGAAGGAGTTATGAAAGCTTTGCTGGGGAAGGTGTGTGGAGCAGTTTGCACTGCAATGGGGCATATCCTGTGCCTCTTCCCTGAGGGAGCTCAGCATCTGGGGCTGCCAGTGTCATAACTTCATTTCCTTCTGGAAATTTTTTTTTTTTTTTTTTTTTTTTTCTTTGTACAGCAGAGACTAGGGAAAGCCTCAGTGCCACCCCAGAATTCGCTCTCACACTCTGGGGATCACTGCAAAAGTTTATGTCCAGTGCATGCTCAGTTGTGCCCAGGATTCCTGTTTGAACAGCAGGTTGCCTGAAATGAAGCCCAGAAGCTGGAGTGGTGAAGACAGTGAGGTAGGTCTCAGGAGCCCCTGAAGATGCCTTCCAGCCCTGCCAAAGAGCTGCTTCTTTTGTGTATTTGATAAATGTTAGATTGTGAAAGACGTTTCATCCTGACTCCCATTACAAACAACTAGGAATCAGATCCCTGATTGTCCTTCAGGATCTGAGCCTTCACCTTTCTACACCGTGGTTGCTAGGATAATGAGTCCTGGCCTCACCAGGAACCAACAGGATCTGTGGGGAAACAGCACCAGCTCGTAGGATCCCAGCTGTGCTCGATAGGAGAATCTTCTCCAAACTATTCTGATACTTCCAGCACTGAAAGCACACTCATTATCACAGACAGCATAGCTCAACTGTTAATACTGCTTTGGCTCAAATCAAAACAGAGATAAGTGACCTGGACTAGGGAGTTTCACATTGTAAAGAAAGTCAGAAGTTTTTTGCTGCAATAGCTCTTACGAGGAAGAAAAGGCACCAGAGTATCTCCCAGTGCAAACCTGATGGGCAGTTCTACATGAGCATGTTTGAGATGATGAATCGGCTTCATTATCATCACCATGGCATGAGTGTTTGAGTCCACTGTGTCAGGCAAGAGCTGGAGCCTGATGGAAGAATAAGATGGAGTAATGAAGGCTTCTAACTCCGCAGGAAAGCTAGGGAAGTGTTTGGCTGTGTTGTACCAGGAAATACAACATAATACTAAAACAGACCCATGAATACACATAATCAGCCAGACCAGGGTTTTCCCAGAGTTCATGAGGGATTGGAAGATTGGCAGTCAAGATCCACATCAGACCCAGAAACCAAACTCAGTTATTTCCTGAAGCTGGTGAGGTGTAAGAGGTGACAGAATTGCTTTGGATTTGGAGATATTAGTTCATGGTAGAGACGGGATAAGACCAAAATTTAGGTATCTCAATCTGCAATCTGCAGATGAAAATTAATCTACCCCGTATTCCTGCATCTTCTTTTTTGGATCTACCACAATGTCACTATTGCTCATGTGGCAGTAGATTATCTTAATGTCCACAAAGTGCTTTGAGAACCTTGGATGGAAAGCCCATGGATTAATCTTAAAACCTGAGAAGTGCAGAGGATCTGGACTTGTTGCCCCCCTCCAATTAGTTCCTCTGCATTTTTTACCTTTGGAGCCTCTTCTTCTGGGATGCTCTTTTACGCTTTGTCCCAGGAAGTGTCCATATGCAGCCAACTTGTCTTTAAATGTTGTTGCATGACCCCATCCTCCAACCGACTGTAGGTACCAGCGGCTGCTTCCTGCTCCTGAGTCTCCTAACTGGAAGTGCTAAACTCACAACTTTTACAGCCCTAATCAGGAACTGCTCAGCAGCTACTGGTAGTTGGCTCCTTCCAAATGAATTGTCCTCCCAAACCTTGGTAAAGCTCTGCGGGCTTCCACAGAGCTGCTTCTGATTCCTAAGTGGTCACCGAGAATTGAATTATATTGTAAATGTGTCTGGTTAAACCTGGATATGATCTTGAAGGATCCCAAGTAGTCCAGAGAGTGGACATGGTAGTATCAAGGAGTATTACTCACAGTCTCTTCTGAGCCCAGCATGCTCAGCTAATGACCTGGATTTGGGTCTGCTTACGCACAGGCAAGACATTGTCCATGGGCCAAGTGAGAGGACAGGTATCTTTGAGCCAACAGAAGAAAGAGGCTGAGGAACTGAACCACCTCTCACGACACCTCTCTCTGTTCCCTCTGGTCCAGTGCTCCTTCATGGAGACAGGACAGGGTGATCTTTCTGAAACCAAGTCATCCCTTCTTTTCTGGGTGCAATAGGAGATTCCAACCTCCAGACCTGTTAGCCAGCCCTGTCACCACCTTGGACATGTCCCCTCCTATGACCCCCAGCTTGGCAGCCATACTCACGTTGACGTGTTCCTTTCCACCGTGCTTTGCCCGGATCTGAGGGTTTTGGATCAGGTCTAGGTGAGTTCCCCACACTGCAATGGGTGTGTTGCCACTAGAGAAGAATACATGAAAGAAGTGCATGAGCCCAGCGAATACATATCAGGACTGATTGCAGCAGCAATGGGTGATCTGTATTCCTAAGTGCTGATCGCAAAGTGTCTGACCCCATCTCATAGTTGTACAGAAAGGGAAGGAAAAACAAAACAAAGCAAAAAGTTTTTCATTCATTCCTGAGGGGAGAAAGAAGTAAAACTACAAACTTGCTATAAACTGTCACATCAAGCATCATCTGGGTGTTTTTCATTGTCAGGATTCAGCAGTCACAAGGTTCAGTAATGAGAAGAGTGGGAAATCTAACAAAAGCTCTTCACAATGGTCCACAGACTCTTATCTCCTATATCACTTAAGGAAGAGACACTTAAAACCCCCTCATAGATACTATCCTGTGCAAGCAGCTCTTGAGGATTCAGTGACACCTTGGTTGGTGGCTGTAGTCCCAAACTGCATATTAAACCTGCCATAAAAACATCGCCCTAAGTAAGATAAATGTCATCTCAGTGAACCCAGTCAGTGCTGCTGGGGAACCAGGTCCTGCAGCATCTAGAACAGTCAAAATCTTCAGATGTGGTGTGCATAAGGCAGTGGCTTGGTTTCCATTTGATGACCCAGGCAGATAAGCTCAGCCATGTGTGTTAGATCTAACATGTGAGAGAACAGAGATTTCCAGTCACTGTGTCCCTTTGCTCAGACAAGGACTGATTTCCCGAGAAAGCCAATCCTTACAAGCCACAACCCTGCATCTGGTAGATTTTGTTGCTTTTATAACATGTCTCAGCCCAGTTTAAGATGGGGAAATGTAGACAGAACCCTTCTCATTCCCTGCAATCACTGTCACCAGAAGGAAACAGCTTTCAGAAACACTCTTCTTTCCTTTCCCTTGCCTCTTCCAGCTGCAGTCAGCAGTGCTGTTTGTGGGGCTTCAGGGAGCAGAGGGGAGGGAGGAAGGAAACTGTAAAGGCTCATTCCCTGGCTTCAGTAGGAGCTGATGTGTGGGTTGGCTTTGAATGCCACTTTAAGGGGAACTGTTCACCACAGGCAGCTTTGGCCATCCCAAATCCAAACAGCATTGCTGTACCAGGGTGAGCTCTCCCTTTGCAGCACTGTGGTGGAGGCACCGTGATGTGAGGGCTGAAGGAGGAAGAGTTATCTGAGAAAGCAAAACCTCCAGCTGTCAGGGCTCACACAGCCAGGGTAGGAGGAAGAAATGTCATCAACAGACAGTCCCATCTCCAAGGGTTTCCCAGGGTGAGGAGTGCTCTCATCGGTTTCAACATCTGTCTCCATACCTCCCGTTGGAAACTGTTCAGGCTGCAATTTATTTCCTGGAGTGTTCTGCTGAGAATGGAAGGGGAGATCATGTGGAAATCAGTGGGATTGGGAAAAGGAAGATCAGAATCCCTTTCCTGCCTCCAGGTAAACCTACATATACAGGAAAGGTGAAACAAGTGCATTATAAATGAGAAAACACCAGAGAGTAAACACGCTGTAAGGAGGAAGCCTGTGTTGGCCAACAGATCTCCTCCAGTTCTGACCTTTTTTTTCCATGTTCCTCATTTATCTTCCACTATTAATCAGATGGGGAAGGTAGGAATGAATGTAAATATACATCTCTGCTCAACAGTGTTTCAGTGAACTGGCTGCATCTGGCTGGGAATGGGCTTCAGCCCCTCTAGTTACACCCACACTGATAAAGCAAACAGCCAGGACACCAGCTCAAACACTGTCTGGTGGCCCTAGATGCTGATAAGCTGTTAACAGTACCCCAGGCAATGCCTTGTCATTGTTCAGGGGATAGCAAGGGCCAGGGAGCACTCTCCAAAAGCAGGATAGATTAAGTTAAACTTCCTTTGAAGGAGGAAAGATCATTGGTGGTATGGATGAGGGCTAATGCAAGCTCGCTGGCTTCAAGACCAAAGAACAGACCTGGATTAAGTACTTACTAGTTTAAGCATAGCCTATGTAACCAAGAAACCTGTAAATTTGAAGTCATGAGCCATGAGCTGTGCCAAAGAGCCTTGTCACAACCATGTCTTTCAGCAGGTGCTCCTGTGACACTTATCTGAGAGGTTCCTTATGGTCCTTCATTCAGGTAATGCCTCTACAGACTGATGGTTAGGACAATGTTTAACCTTGAGTTTTGAAGAGTATCTCAAGTTCTTGCTCTCTGAAATGATCAGTTGTGATGGGAGATTTCTAATAGGAAATTTTATGGGGCAAAAATACATTTTGCCATTTCCATAGGATCTGCTTGGATGGTTGAGTTCTCTTGAATGAACAGGGAATCTCCTGAAGTCATACATCCACTTATAAGGGAGCTCCCCCTCCCTGCCTTACAGAAAAAAATACCCTCTCCTTCCCACTAAGTAGTCCTAATATCACCCAGGGAGAGCTCGCTCACCAGAAATTAGAAGTGTAGAAACCAAATTGTTCTTTCTCCACTGTCCTGGTTCTTCTGAATTTTTGGCTGTGAGCCTTTATAATTTTTATTATTATTTATTGTTATTATGAATGTCTGCTGATTCAATCTAGAATGGATTTTGGATCTTTGTTCAGCTGAAAGTCTTACGTGTTCCAGACGTATCAAATGTGTGTGTATATGTACAGACATATGAGTGTCTGTATATATACATAAATCCTTTTATTTAATCAACCGAGTCTGTGCACACAGTTTTAAACCCACGTGTTAAAAATCCTGTATTTGTTTTGGAAACTGAGCTTGCAGGCTCAGATCACAGTTATTAAGCACAGACAAAGCATCAAATCAGAGAGAGGCCTTTTCTCAGAGAAAAAAAAAAAAAAAAAAGAAAAACGCCAAAGCAGTTGTGTTTGCTGAAGACACAAAATCACCCCCAAACCTTTTCTGGCTTGCAAATCAAGCAAATAAAACCGTTGTTTGCCTTTGCATGAAACCCAGCAGCCATTGCCTTTTGTGCCTGCAGGTGAATGACCAGTCACAGCCACTTCTCCATCAGTTCAGATCAGAGCTGGGAGACATGCTGCCCAGCAAAATAACTGAGGTGCCAAGACTACCAGCTTTCTTAATTTAACTCTTTATTGTCCCAAAAGCTCTGAGCACAATTTCTGTCTGCAGACTCAAACAGTTGCTGGAAGCATCTCAAATCAAACCCAGATCAAAATATTAATGGAGCCTCATAAAATTCTATTTACCTGCCCCTCCAGTGTGACTGTTGTTTGGTGGTTTGGGTTTTTTTTTTGGCTATGGGAGTAAATTAGCAGTAATCTTTTCTTTATTGTCCTGGAAAATGGCACTTGAGAAGGTTTTAAGCCAGGCTTAGTACATTCATTCACTAATTTTGCAAAGCTGGTTTAGTAGCAATCATCTATCCCTCAAAACAGCTTAGCCCTACAGCCAGGAATGATGAATCAGAGAAGCACAGTGGATTTGCTGTTATGAATCATTCCGCATAACAAATATACTGAGAAACAGCTTCCTCAGTTCATCTCCAGATCCACCTGTCTTGGCTAACTTATTTCTTGCTTGATTCTCAGGACTGGAGGTGGCTGCACGTTCATCCAACTACGTGTGGAGGCCTTACTCTAATGCTTGTCTCCATCGTGACCTGCTGGATGGAGCTCCACAGCTAACAGAGCGCTTACAACTGTCCCCGACACCCTGAACCACAGTGGTCATCCTGGATATCACATCTTTCTTTCTCTGTGCCCCTCCTCCAAGGTCACACCTTTTGGAGTGATTCAGAAGTGCAAAAGAAACAGGATGGAAGTGGGAAGGTCTGGTTAAAATTAGGCACCTGTTGATGCTCAAGCTGATGTGTTTTGATTTCAGAAACGCTGAGGAGAGGAAAGGGTAGACGATGTACCTGGGTGATGCGACAGGTAGAGTCCAAATCATCCCTCCTAGCAGCTACACACCCTGCGGGAAGTTGACAACCACTAAACAAGCACCTCTTCTTAATTTCCTTTATGCTGGGAGGTGGGGTGGGAGACTCAAGGCAGCAAGAGATGGGATGCAGAGCCTTTTCACCCCCAGGCTGGGAACAGCTTTACCAATACACCTGAAGCATCTTCTTGGCTGATTCTTCATCTCTCTCTGGCAGCTTCAGCAGAGAAAACAAGGAGCAAACAAGATCTGGAGAGCTTCTCCTCTCACCTCCCAAACAGACCTGAGGCCAGGTGGAGGAAGGTCCCCGTGATGCAACTTTCCTGGGGATAATAGAAGAATTCACTCTCCTAGGCTGTCAATCTTGCACCTTTTAACCGGCACTTTAATAAGGAAGGGAGTAAAGCGATTTCTCATTTCACTGATAACCTGAACTCTGACTGAAAATAAAACCCCCAAATGGAAAATCCAGACGCTAAAGCTCCAAGCTCAGTGTGCAAAGATTCAATCCGGCTAAATCGGTAAATTCCCTCACGGTAATTAAAGGTACTAATTGATTTGTGAAAACATCTTCTGGATGGGAGCTGAACTGGGGGGATTTACAAGCCCTGCTCCTAATCCCCAGATACTCCAATCAGTCTGGTTTGACAGGGAAGCAGAGAGCAGCTGTGGAGAAATGAGGGGAGACGAAGATTTCTTATTTTGTATCTTTTCAAGGAAATACCAGTGCATTTAATGACCAATTTCTCTCTTCCCGAGGCCAATTCTGCAGGCTTCTGAGAGCATTTGGGTATCGCTTTGATGCCTTCCACAACCAGGGCAAATGCTCCTCTCAGACACCTTCATGTGAACCCTCTGAATTCACCAAAGCAGCATCAATGGGGTGAAGAGAAAAAGAGATGCCTAACGAGGAAAAAGGCTGTTTGATAGGGCAGGGACCAGGCCTCCCTTTGTGTTTCATCTTGGGATACAACCCTGGGCCTTTCAGGCATGACAGCCAAGCAAGCAATGCTTAGTCCTGAAAGAGCAGCTCCATGAAAACTGAAGGAAAGGTAGGAATTGCTGCTTTCAAAACCCTGGGCGAGATTCACTTCTCTAAGCACAGTTATGTCGTTTGTGCCCGGGTTTAAGAGATCAGTGACTGGTCCTGCCGCTATGCAAACCTGTGGTCCCAGCCCAATGGGGCCTGAAACACAGTCATGACCAGAAGCACTAGGAATTGCAGCTTTTAGGGATACAACTGTGTAGGTTAACCAGCCCCAGTGGTCTGTGATACTACTCAGACTGGGAGCATCCTGGTGCTGGAGATAAACCCTAGGCTGCCGTAAAGAGGGAGAAAGCTTCAAAAGGAGGTTGGAGACTTGCCCTACCTACCTTTGCAATTAATGAATTCTCCAATGAAGTTTCTGGTGAGCACTGCTTCATTAACCTTTGCTCTGCTAGTGAAGGCAGGGAGCAGGATCATCTGAGCAGGTTTGAACTACTCAGAGTTCGTCTGGAGAAAGGATCCTGCTCCTGCCCATTCCTCACTAGAGTCTGTGGAAATTTTATTCTGGGATACACATGAGCACAGACACACATTGAGCATCCAAGGTGTTACAATGGATGCACAATGCATTGTTGGCCTTTTAGTCTTCCCAGGAAGCAAGTCCACCAGTCCTCATGGTCCTGGGCTCTGGGAAGGAGCTCTGCATAAATCTTTTTCTTAGTGAACACAGTGCTTGGAAACCACTTTTCTGTACCAAGGACCAAAATGAACATGCCAGTGACGCATCAGAAAACCATGGGAAGTGGCAGGTGTTGTCCATGGGATGCTTACCTGAAGATGCTCCACTCGGGCTCGATCCTCAGGATGGTTGGATCCTCTACGTATTCATACTGCAACTCCTGATGTATCTTGGCCTTGTCCACTCTCACGGACACCTTCACCTTCTCAAAGCCTTCATCTGAGGCAGTGGTGTTACAGACAATGTGCTTGGTGGATCTCCTGTGAGCAGAAGCAAGTAAATATAAACCAGGTGCTACCAGCAGCAAAGCAAATGGTGCCAAAAAGAGCCCAGCTACTCAGTGTTGTGTCCTGTGACCTTACCCTATGCACTGTGAAGTGGTGAAACTCACTGCTACAGGAATATGCTGTGAATAGTGCGACACGTTTATCTGAGGAAGTTTCATTAGTTTAAGTAAAACCACAAAACCCATAATTTATCAGGTCTCAGAGTGAAAACTCAACCCCAAGGGAAGTCCAAACCAGACCTCTCTCCAGAAGTATTTCAGTGTGATTAAACACTTGATGGATGTTTCCTTCCTGCCTGCAGACATATGTAGCAGCAGCTCATAAAAATTAGTGTTTGCACTTCGGCTTTCCAGTTTGGGATAATAAAGTTTACTTTGCATTAGGACTGTAAGCCTTGTTTAAGTGCAGTTTGCAGTGTGCCTGGGACCTTTGCATGGAAGGTGCTAACATAGTAGGAAGCATTTTATGATTATACTCTAAGAGGATGCTGCATAAACCTTTCCTTTTGGGCAGGGCTCAAAACCAGCTCCAGGTCTGAATTTTGCAGTGGCCCTTACCTTCCATAAAGAGCCAAAAATTCAGGTTCCAAATACCCTCAATCCCCCCAGTCCTGTGTTTTGTTATGTAGCCTCATCTTATACCCCTAGAAAGGATAAAGCAGGATGCAATGCTTCCCTCGTAGCATGGCACTCACCTTCACTAACTGCACCCTCCAGGTGGTCTCTAAGTTCCCCTGAAAGACCATGCTCAATCTCTCTGAAAACTCCCCAGTCTCTTCAGTAAGCATCTCCAAGCAGCTCTGGCTCCCACTTGGCCTTTTAAACCACAAGCTGTGACTTCACCCTCCTGAATTATAGATGCTGAATTACACCAGTCATAGCAGGTGGCTGAACTGGATCCCCACAGCCGGGAGAGGGATGGGCATTGCCCCAGGACACTGGTCCCAGGTCTCCTGTGAATGAGCCCTTCTTCTGCCAAGGACATGCTGGGGGAAATGTGCCAACTTCATCTTCAGCCTCCACTGATACTGGCAGCAAAACACGTTGCACTGGGTAGTTCTGAGCTGCGGGAGCCCCTGGGAACGGGATTCAGGCTCATTCTCACAGGGATCAGGGAACATTCAGCAGGTAACACTGACATTAAGCCTCTCTGAACTGCAATTGAACAGCAGCCAACCCAGAGCTAAAATGTTGCAAATCATCCATTTCTTAGCACTACATGATTATTCTGGGATAAAAGGGAGGTGTTTTAATACTTAGAACCAATGTTGTCAAATTTTCTTTGTCACCTATGCTAAAGCAGGGACATGAAAATGGATCTTTTAAATGATGTACTCCCAGAGCAAGTAGCAAAGCGTAGGACTGTGGAGAATTGTAGTGAAATTTGACAAGGGGACATGGAAAAAAGCACACCAAATACCAATCAAAACAATGAAATAAATCCTATTCTCTCACCCCAAAACATGCACAGCAAGGTTGCACACGGTGCAGAATGCAAAAGTCCCATTGCTGAATAAACATGGCCACAGGCAAAAGAGGCACTTGAGGGACAGTGTGTCTGGACTGCAGAAGAAGTCTCTTGGCTATAATTGCTCACGTATTTCAGACTCAGGCACATACAGTAGGAAGGACTCATCTGTACCTGTAGAAGAGGCAGGGTTGTCGCCCAAAGGTCACAATGACATTGCTGCCCGCATTGAGGTTATTGCCTGTAATTGTCACCTGGGTGCCACCCGACACCGGTCCCCGCTTCGGCTTGAGATCAGAGAGTGTCAGAGTCTGTGAAGGCAAAGGGTTGTGTTGTAAACACGATACAGGAGCACAGGTACCTTCCCTCTCTCGTTTTAATGATGGAGAGAGGTAGGCACCTACAGGAGTTAATCCCATCTTAGCTGGACTTCAGAAGATAGCCGTTATCTTCTGGCCAATGGATGAGCCTTGGGTGACACCAGTCCTATCATAGACATCCTGCTTGAACGCCAGCCTTGTTGGGATGAGTTCAGACCTAACCCCAGTCTGTTCTCCTCACTCCTACAAAAACTCTGTGCTTGCAAAGTCAGTTCCAGGCCTGGAGCAGCTGGAGCTGTGATCTCCTATCTCCACTGCTTGTTTGACACAGCTGAGGTATCTTTTTACTATCAGGTAACACCACCTCTGCAAGATAAACCAGGTCTTGAACTGGCTGGTTGGTTCTTAACAGGGAGTCTCCACCTCCCAGCTATGGTGCTCACAAGTGATGAAAATGGTTTGGTCTTGAAGATAACTCTAAACCCTGTTGATCTGAGAAGGGAACAGGACCTGCTCTATAGCTCCAGAGATTCCTAAAAACCTCCCCCGAGCTCACAGACTTTTTCCCCAGGAAGGAGGAGAGCTGTGATTCAGCAGAGCATCTAAGCTCACGGCTTGCCTCTCCCACATGCCCATTGCATGACCCCAAATCTTTCTCTTTTTCTTATCAGATTTGGATGCTGGGACACTCTAGTACCTCATGAGTGTCCTGCACTGATAGAGCACAGCGGTGCTCAAGTTGAGATGTCCTCTGAAATACTGCAGCCACAAAAGGAGCACTGTTCAGGTGAACACCTTTTTCCCTTTTCTGCTGATTTTCCAACCCTCTTTTCAAAACATAACGTGATGTTGTGTTAATATATCAAAAAGGGGCACAATCTCCTTAGGGCCCCAAGTGTCAAATCTCTTTCTCACCCTCCTGCTCTCCCTTTTTCCCAAAATCAAGATAAAATACTTGCACTCTGAAGGCACGGATCACCCTTTTACCACAATACAGAGAGGAGACATTCATTTTCAGGAAGAAATTTGGAGTTACAGTTTATACTTTCATTTGCATTTTAATAGAAAAACTTTCCATTCAGTCCCAAGTGAAAAGCTACTATATGCATTTAAATGAAGATTATTTTTTTTCCCCTCTCTTTAAGAATGATGACACAAATGCTTGAAGCTCCCCTCAACTCTTCTGAACAAGCAGGTATATCACGCAGTCACCTTATTGAGCTTTGGAGACCATTAATCCATGTTTATAAAACCACCTGACACACACCACAGCTCCCTGTTTCACACACACAGAGCCCTCTCTTGTCCCAGTCCCCCTCTGGCTAATCACTTTGAAAAACAGCAGCAAGGTTTCCACTTTGCTTTTGTTTAAAATGCATCTACCACTTGGAGAAAGGGCTGAACGTGAAAATCAGACATACAGTCCTGTGGAAAAATCTACTGTCAGAGCTGGGCAGTCCTTGTGTTTAAACTTGAGAGGTTTTGACGTGATGGTTTGGAAACTGGTTTTGTACTTTTTCTGGGAATATTCTCTAGCACCTATTATTGGGATAAAACCTGCAGGAAGAGTATGTAGATGCAAAAGATGCACTTCAGTATGTAAAGCTCCTCTATTTTAGGGTACCACCTCAAGCTCGGATGGCAACTCCTCTCTAAACCCTTGTTGGTGGCCACCCCCACCAGTGCAAATTACTGCTGCTGGGAGGAGAAAATGGGTTGAGAATGGCCAACTTGGTGCACATAGCCTACACAACAGCACTGCAATAGTATCCGCTTTACAAACCAGAGGAACACTTGAGTTAAAGACCCAAAGGCCTCGTCCCACTCCTGGACGGGTTTCCTGCTCTCTTCTCAGAGGTGGATAAACGAGCCATGCCCTTTGGAGGATTCTCACAGACCAGAACTACGTCAGCAACACTCCTTGGCAAAGCGTTGTTGTGTCTTGTGATGATCTTACAAAAGGGTTTGTGGCCAAGTTTTCAAAGTTGCAATAAACCTTTAATTATTCACAGTGGTCTTCATAAATATTGCACAGCGTGTTTGCAGGAAAACTCAGCCTTCAGACTACTTATCATTTCCTTGCTGGTGAAAGGTGATGGAAAATGCAAGGGGGTCTAGTGGACCTGTAATAGGCTGAAGTGGACAATGACAATGAGGCAAAGAGGACGGGAAATCTTCTGTACCTTTCTAGGATCTTGCCTACTTTGCTCCCTAACCCTTTACTTTTCTTCAGTACCTCCTCCACACAGGCTGTCCACAAAGAAGCTGCCATCAGAGCTGTGTCTGAACTGACCACATGATGCATGTCAGACTTGGTTCCCACTTCATTCCTCCTGGGGACCAGGGCAGAGCAAGATCAACTCACGCACAGCCTGTGCACCCGCGTTTCCTTTCTATAGGTTCAAGAGCAGCAGCAGGAGGGGAAAGATGGAAGGGACACCTGTTGCAAATGCTCTCCTGAGACAGGGATTTTAGAAGACCCTCAGAGTAGATCGCATCACTTGCACTGAGCCATAATATTCTCATCCAAAGCCAGAATAAAGGTCAACTTGCTCCAGCATCCGAAGTGAAAAGTGAAGGGAGATCTTTTTTGGGTTGAAAGACCATGGTAATAATCACAGCAGAAAAATGAAAAACTTTTTTAAAAAATATTTTCATTTAGATCATCATAAATTTCATTTCAGCCTGCAACCAAATGTTTTGTTTCCCTTTTGTCTTATTGTACTCTCTAATGCAATTTCCTTTTTTGATCACAGATGAGTTTAAAACAAACAAACAGCATTTTGAATTTAAAAGTTCTGGTTAGAAATGTGGAGAAGGACTGTTCTAGCCCCTCTAAACTAAGCTACCTCTTTTTTAAAAACACTGAAATTAAATACTCTGTTGAGTTCAAAATATCATCTCCTCCAATTCTTGCAGGAAAGGGGAAGGCTGGACCTATTAGTCAAATTTGACCCTGTTTTGCTTCAAAACTCTTGAAAAACAGTTTTCCAAAGGATTTACTATACATCAGAAAATGACATTTATATCCCATGCGATGCCCTTCCTTAGTTTTCAAACATCTTCCTTTCCTTGAAGCTGCCACCCACAGTTGCAGGATGCCAAGGGACATTGTGATGCCTGCAATAACATCTCTACCCTCCTGGCAGAAATATCAGAGGAAATCAAGCCGTGCCAACTAACACAGCTCCCACTATGAAATCAACGGACACAGGAGAGGGCATATGATGGGCAGGCTGGAGAGCCTCTGCATTCTTTTCTGTCTAGCACAAAGGTATCAAGGTATTCAGCAGAGAATACCCTGTTGACTTCACGCTCATGCACGGCTGGGATAGCTGGCAGCCGGAAAGCGAGCAAGCAGAGGGAAAAGCTGTCACAGACGGACACGGATGATCAAAATTGGACAGTAATTTCAAGAGTAGCAAAGGTGACACAGTGAAGTGTAATGTCCTGGAAAAAGCCCTTCTGTCTGCCTAGTGGGGGCTATCTCTCAAGGCGTTTTTCTGCCCCCACCACCATAGTACCTGAGTGACATCAGAAAATACAGAGAATAGAAAAATTTCTGTAGCTCAAGGGGGAAATCGAAGATGCTTGCATTCATTACCAGATCCCTTTACCATAAAAATTTTTAGGGCATGTGAATAATTTCAGAAAAGACCCATTCCTTTGCAGGAGTCAAGAGCTTTGGATGGGAACAAAAAGACCCTCTCATCTCAAACCCACAGAGATCTGCACAGATCAAGGCCAGGCATTGCTTGCATGTCCCCAGCAAGAGGCCTTAGAGGAAAAAACAGGTCTCTTGGACAAGGAACAAAAAAACATCAGAAAGGAGCAAAAAAACAAGTTGAGTGTACATGTGTTTGGCTCTGCTCCTCTCTTCCATGAGGCTTCCACCACAGCAAAGTGACAGTTTCAGGCTGAACTTACACCAGTAGTAGTGTGGAATCAGGCCCAGAGCCCCTCTGACTGCTTTGCAAGCTGATGGCCCAGACAGACAGTGTAGTAAGCCAATTTGCCAGCCCCGGCAGACTCTCTAAAAAGAGGAGTGTGGCTCTTCTCCAAGTGCCGTCAGTACACATTGAATGGAAGTTGTGCATGTGATCCCACCCCTCACCATCCCTAGGGACTTTTGATTTCATCTCCAAACTCCTCATGGCTAAGTCCTCTCTCCAAAACTCCTACTCTTAAAATCTAACTGAAGTTAAAGCTTGCTGGTGTCTATTGATTCACCATGGAGCATCCAAAACAGTTCCCACTTGCACTGAGCCCCCGTCACAATCTACAGCTTACCCACACCCTGCAGCCTGGTCCCTCCTGATCTAGTGATGCAGCAATGCTTCTCCTGCACACCCAGAAGACCACCTAACACAAACACCCCTTGAATGCTGCATCTTGCAGAAACACCTGTCACTGCTATGGTGACTGCCTGCAGCCCAGTAAATGGGAATTTTTGTCCTTGCTAGCAGAAGGCCGTGGGCTTTGCACTGACCTGACACCACAGGGTCCCACAGGACGTCTCTGTGCTTGCCGTGCCCTGCACTGGGTGTCCCTGGGATCACAAGTGTGATCCCCAAGGACCTGCCTGAGCTCGGCGCTGGGGACACCCCCATGGCCAAGGGCTGCCGCCCCGGGCAGGCCCTGCCCAGCAAACACCAGCCCTTGGTGTGCCCGGGCTGGCGCTGGGCAGCTCTGCCACTGGGGCTGGGCAACAGGTGGTGGGGAGAGGGGGGGTGAAGGTACCCCTGGGGGAACCCGAGAGTGAGGAGGAACAGACCCCACCATGAATATCACACTCCACACTCCTGCTGAAGACCTCATGGTGGTAGTGACTGGTGGCAACCCTCATGTTTTTCCTGGAGGACACTGGTGCCTTCAGCCGTAGGGCCTGGAGGGATGCTGGTAGGGCGAGCATCACACCCAGGAAAAGTAAGATACTAGGGAAATTTTTTTTGCATTTTCTTCTTTTTTACCTTTTTTTCTTTCCTGTACAGCGTTTTTAACTATTAATGAGGATTTTCTGTACTAATTTGGACCATGGCTGTATGTAACTGTAACTGGACTAATCATTTGGACTATTATTAGACTGTTCAAACTTTAATTAGACAGGCTATTTTTGCTCATAACAAGATTTTGAAAGGAAATGGAAGGAACAACTTGATAGAACATCAGTGAAGAGCTCAGAGGCTGAATATGGTCAAGGACAATGGGTAGATGCAGCAAAGGGGACCAGGGCCCAAGGACCTTCAGGGCCAAGAAGAACTTCTCGCAGGAGCTTACCATAAAGTAGTAAAGCTGTGAAGACCTGGCCATGAACTCTGGTTTGCACTCGGCCACACAGATTTCCACAAATCCGGCATGCTGGCTGGGCTTGGCCTCCCCCATCTCACATACTATCCTGTGGAGAAAATATGAACCAGAAGCAAGGTTTGAAGGATGGTTTCAAGGTCTGGATAAGATGTAATTGGAGCAAACAGTCCGCTCTGCTGGCAAATGAACTGTAGACTTAACACACCCTCTTCTTTCCAATCCAGGATACAAATTGTGGACTAAGTTATTCTTTAAAGAGTTGTAGCTTTTAGCTGTTGGTGGGACAAATGCTTAGCTGGTGTAAGTCAACATAACTTCACTTAAATATACAGACAAACACTGGGCTGAGGTCTGACCCCAGGGGTCCTTCTGTCCTCCAGCCTTGCATGGTGGCCAGCTTTACATCTCTAAGGTTTAATGATCACTCCTGCATGTGGTAAGCTGCTTCTCGGGCTTGGATTTGAATTGAACACCATTGTGGTGGCTGTTAGGTGAAAAAACAAAGGATAACCTCAAGGCATAGGCCATGAGGATTATCTAAATATGCAATCCAAATACAGTAATAAATGAATAATTAGCTCCTGAGCTGTGAGGAATGGCATCTTCCATTGCCCATTTCCAAGGTTGGGTGGAATTGACTCCTTAGAAGACCCTAGAGGTAGCAATGACTGTCATCAGGTGTGCTGTGGCCCACTGTCTGCCACACACCCAACTTACTGCTCTGCTGGGATGTACCCTTCCACCAGCGGTTTGCACTCCACTCCGGCCACTTTGACGTGAGACGCAATATCTCTGAACTCCAGCCCCAGATTCTCCCCACGGATGGTCACTTTGGTCCCTCCTTCACGAGGGCCCGTCACTGGATTGATCTGGAGAAATGAGGCAAGAAAAGGGAGAATAATCAAACCACCTATGTAAAAGTATCAGCATCCTCTCAGGTGAAAGAAGAGGCATTATGAGGTCTCCGTGACCACTAGAGACAAATAATTATGAATGTTGAACAACAGAGGGAACAAGCCTAATCCAGATACATCACTCCGTCCAGCTCCCCTGCAAATATATATTACACATGCCCCAACCTCAGAGTGTAAAAAATTCTGCCCCAGATCTCATTCGCTCTCTTTTAACTACTTGCAAAACATCCACAGAACAGTTAGGAGATGTTTTCTAGGCAGGAGCAGGGGTTTCTGGTGGTACAGCTGAGCTCTGCACTTTATAGACACAGGTCATGGAAAAACAGGAGAGGGGTACAGTGGAAAGAAAAGGGAGAAAGAACAAGAAAAAGACACAAATGGCTTCAGCCAGTCACTTTAAATACTAAATTCCCAGCCCAAAGCACATGATGGTTTTGATCAGTTCTGGAGGTAGGTATTGGTCATGCATCACAAACTCAGCTGAAAACGTCCACCTGGAAAAAACAGACAATATGCAACAGAAAGTGTGTCAGATTGGGTATGGAGTAGGTGGATGGTGACTGAGACAGCAGCAGCAGTGGCTGTTTGACAACAAGTATTTCTGACAGAGCTGCAGCTCACGGTAGAGCTGGGGCGAGGGGAATGGCAAGCATGCCAGCATGGACAACTTATTTGCAGGGTGGGAGCCCCTTGAGCCCCAGCAGGAGATGAGCAGCTGTCCCAATCATCCTGGTGGCATCACGTTTGCACCCCAGTCTAGACCTTCACCATGCCCTAGCAGGGGTAGCATCGCCATGTCTTGCTCAGCAGAGGCACCACCCAGCGTCCACAGGTCACCCCTCCCTCCCATTGCAGAGCCTCACGCCTCACCCCACACCCAGAGCTGTCTATCTCTGTGCAATATTTCTGGCCCATGCAAAGGAGGTGTGTACAGGGGAAAGCGTTCTGCATCACATCCATCACCCTCGCTCAGAGCCAGGTGGAAATTAGTGTTGGAGTTGTCTCCTCAACATTGAAACAACACAGAAATCATGGGGCTGGCCCTTAATTAGCTCGGTTCTGCCCTTCCAATTATTCACTGTGCCCAAATGCTTTGCCATACAACTGGCTAGTTGAAAGAGGCTTTAAATGTTGCTTTCAAAGGGTATTCCCTGCTGCCCACTTGGGATGCCATGGCTACCATCTGCCAGCATTGGCAAGGGTCTCTCTGCAGTGAGGAAGGGGGAATTCCCCGCCTGAGGTCCATACCCACTGGCCCATGGCTCTGCCAACTGGGAATCTAGGGCTGGCAGCTAGACCCTTGCATGGCAGTTGGACTGGCAGGGAAAGTCGAGGCACTGGCACAAGCAGGGCTGGTCTTGACTGTTTCCCAGAGCTGAGTCTGGCACCAGGGTTAGTCTAATTTCCACCCAGAGGCCAATTTTTAGAAGGTCCATCTTTAATAAAAGGAGAGAGAACCTGGCACCTTTAGGGGATATTTTATTTTAGGATATTTAATTTTAGGTGTTGTAAACTACCTCCCTAATGAGCATGTCTTTGCTCTGACTGTACAGGGAACCAGCAGAGGTTAACAAATTAATAGCACAGATGATCACAGACAGGTGCTTGGACCTTGTAGGGTTGTGTAGCGTAGACACCACCTCTGTAGCACAAGATCCCTGCAGAAGCCCTGTCTCAGGTCCAAAAAAACGGACAAATACCATTTGATCCAACAAAATCAGAACCATGGCAGGTTTATTGCTATTTCAAAAGTCAAAAATCTTAAATCCTAAATCCTAAAAAGAAAATAGCACAATATTAATAAATCTGACAGGTGAAATGATTATTTGGGTTGGCTGGAGATTTGACTTTGGGATGGTGTGTGGTGATGAGATTGATAGACAAATAGAAAATGGATGAGAAAGAAAGAGAAAGGCTTTAGTGGTTATTGTCCAGCAAATGAGGCAAACCTCTTAAAAAATGGTAATTAAAATTAAATTTCTGTTCCAGGAGAAACTAATACTGATTGTCTCAGCTGGGAACTCAACATTGAAAACTTGGAATTTTTTTTTTTTTCCAAAAATAGCAATTCCAACATATTTTTATTCTGAATCATTAATAAATATCTATTAAAGCAATGTTTTCTGTTTGAAATATTTATTTTGCTGACGTCAGTTAACCCTCTCCTGATAAAACACTGTATGAATGATTCTGGAAGGCTAGAACATATCCCCATATCAAATGAAAAAAAAAAAAAAAAAAAAAAGAAAGATAAGCTAAAATTCCCATGTTTTATTTTATTTCCTTATGCATTAGACACACTTCAAAATAGAACTGAATTCCCCGTGGAATATTTTGGTTCTATTTTGTGGTATTAAACTTACCATCAAATGTTTTTTACTTGTTTTATTAAGGTAGGTGTCTAGTAAGCTGGGTCTGTGGTTAATTAGAGCTCACCTATGCTTGAAAGAGCTTGCTAGCATGGGCAGTACATCTCATACCAGGTCAAAAGAGGATTTTTGTTCTCGTATGAACTAATGTCATTACCCTGAATAAAAGATGGTGTAGTGAAAAGGAACGTATTGCTAGAAAAGTCCTTTTCTTTAGAATGATGGGTGAGTTTGAGACAAAATTTTCACTGCAGAAGTCACAAAACAACTCAGTGAAAATGTTATCAACCTCCTTCCATCTCTGTCTAAAGCATGAGATTTTTAAAAATACTTGTTTTGACTCTGTCCTTGTTTCAGCTGGGATCCAGTTAATTTTCTTCCTAGTAGCTGGTGCAGTGCCGCATTTTGGATTTAGGATGGGAATAATGTTGGTAACACACTGAAGTTGTGATAACACACTAGTTGTCCCTGAGCAGCTCTCACACAGAGCCAAGGCCTTTGCTGCTCCTCACCCCACCCCACCAGCGAGTGGCTGGGGGGGCACAAGGAGCTGGGAGGGGACACAGCCGGGACAGCTGACCCCAACTGACCCAAGGGATGTCCCAGCCCGTACGGCGTCATGCTCAGCCTGTAGAGCTGGGGGAGAAAGAAGGAAGGGGGGGACGTTCAGAGTGATGGTGTTTGCCTGCCCAAGTCACTGTTACGTGTGATGGAGCCCTGATGTCCTGGAGCTGGCTGAGTGCCCGCCTGCCCATGGGAAGTGGGGAATGAATCCCTTGGTTTGCTTTGCTTGGGTGCGTGGCTTTTGCTTTACCAATTAAACTGTCTTTATCTCAACACAGGAGTTTTCTCACTTTTACCCTTCCAATTCGCTCCCCCATCCTCCCAGGGAGGAGTGAGCAAGTGTCTGTGTGGGGCTCAGTTGCCAGCTGGGGTTAAATCACGACAGACTCAAAAAGCATCAACAGGAAACTTCCCAGAGTGAAGCCAGCACAGCACCTCTAAGCCCTTCCGAGCCCCTCCCTGTGTGATTTTTAATTTGTAAAGGCCAACTACTAAACCCACTTATTTTCTTAAAAAGGGAGGGCCTGGGATTTTCCCAGTAGCATGTGGGAGACTTTTTTAACCTCACCTCATAACAGTCCCACAGATACATACAAGAAGAAGGTGTTACCGGGCTGTTTTCACAATGAGAGAGAAGGATTCGTTTTCTATCACAAGTGCAAAAATGTGGAACAAGACCTGTCAGTTTTGGAGGGGAAAATAAAGGCAGGGAAACAAAAGCTGCCAGGAAGCCTCAGCTTTCTCTTGAAGACCCAGAGCTGCGACACTGCATCACAATTTATGCCCTCCGCTCACAGCAGCCTGATGCTGCAGCTTGTCACTCTTAACGGAGGTTTTGTGGCTCAGCGAGTCTGCAAGTCCTTTAATTTCACTGAGTGGCAATATAAATGCAAGAGCTAGTAAATAAGGACAGGTTATGGGAAGCTCTGTGCTGGGTATGTGTGTGTGTCTGTGCAAGTGTGAGTACATGCATTGTTTCTCCTCCTTTGCCTGCACAGATACTGCCCTGGCTCCTCGCCAGAATATGCATGCTCTTACCAACAGCTCCAGACCTACCATTAGCTGCAATATATATCCAGTCACTTGAGATTACTTCCATGCTAATGGCTCAGAAAAAGACTTTCCAAGAGCTACTTATGATTGCACCAGACAGTTGGAATATTTCATGAGCGAATATTGCAATGATCTGTTCGAGCTTTGGGAGCTGTTGGAGAAAATGTCAGCAGAATTAGAAGTACATCCCTTCTGGAGCTGTAGTGTGGAGAGTTGAGTGCTTTGCACTTCATAAAGAGACTGTAGATGTAGGGTTGGGGTCAAAGCATGGCAGAGAAATGCATATGGACCTTCAGAACATCCTACTATCACATGGTCAGGTCCTTGTGTTTTAGACTTCTGCTTTGGTTGGTCATCCATCACTTTCCCAATACTAAATTCTATGAATCTGTGCAAAATTTCTGAATATTTCCCAAGGTTTGAGAATCTGAAACAATTCAAAAAAGGTTTTTCCCTAGCTCCCAATAATTTTCAAGGCCTCAAAGCTGAACTTCGAAGAGTAGCTGCTCATTCTGGCTGTCTCTGCATTTGGTTTCACAGCTTCAGGGTGGTTCAGGTGGGCTCAGCATTACCAGCCCCAGAGAAATCCAAACGCAGTGGAAGGCCTCCACCTTGGAAACATCAGGATGAGCCTGGTACTCCAGCAGTCCAACTGAGTCTGTACTTTGGGGACTGATGGATGGCAGGAAGAAACACAGCAAGGGGGACTCCTTTCAATGGCATCTGGGAAAACCAGATTCTATCCAGAATTTGCCTTCACAAAACTTTCACACATGGACATTGGATTGTCCATAACACCTACATTTTTTTGATCCTTAACTGAATACAATTGAAAAGCCTTTCTTGCTTTCTAGGAGAATAATCCACCTGTTGTTTCATATTAAACCGCAACTGTGGAAGCTGGATTTTCCTCCTTTGCATTTCTCTTTCTCTTCCCTTTTTCACTTTCCTCTTTTCCTCTTTGCAGAATAAGACCCTAGCCACCCTGAAAGGATACTCATGTCAACAAAGCACGGTGACTGAGAAATGCTTAAGGCAGGAGGAAGTTGGTAAAGGCGTTATCAAGGCTCAGATATTCCCTGCTGCCTGCCCTGTGACCCTGAAAATGGTGCCCATCGTTATGGCAAAGGCATACTAAGACAGCAGACAAAAACCAGTTGGGACTGGAGGCTTGATTTCCCTCCCGTGCCTTCTTTCCCCTTCTCTGCTTCCTCTCTGTATGGTTTTCCTATTCTTTTATCTTCCTTTTGTATTATACCCTTGCTACAGCTCTTCCTTTGGCCCAGTCACCACATTCAGTAGGAAACCTTCTAAAGAATGTTGCAGATCCTTCCCCCCAGCCTTGCCCTCATTTTCTCTTTATCATCTAATAGGACAGTTCCAAGCTTCATTTAATCCAGGTTTCATCCTGTCTTCTCACTGAACCTTGAAAGGGGGAAAGCTGACAACAGTACAGGGCTTTGTTTGCTCTACAGGGACTTCTTTCACCATGGAAAGTCAGGCAGGCAAACAGAAGAGCATTACTCTGCTGGACTCAGTGGAGTCTTGTTTATTTCTGGATATTGACTTTGTCCATGTCATGCTGCCAGCAAGCATGAAGTACAACCTGCCCTCTTCCTTGACCTTCTGTCAGCAAAGCTTAAAACACTCTGGGATCACTCAACATCTCCTTCTCAACCAGGCTGTCCAGATAGGCTGTTTCAAGAGGCAATTGGGCTCATTTGATACCCTCACACCATCCATTTGAGATGACTCAGAGCATCTTGTCTCACCTTCAGCTGCTCCTAAAAGGCTTCATGTCACCTCTGCCAGCTCTGTGGGAGCAGGTCGGATGCTCTGGTGTTCCTCAGACTGAACCAGCAGACTGTGTTTGTGCAACTGATTCATGTCCACATTGACTATGGTGGGAATTCAGACACCCTGCTCACCCCTATGGTGTAGACATCTGAAGTTGTATACCTACCTTTGAAGGAAATCATGGTGTCCCAACCCCAAGGTTGCCTGGGGCTTTGCTTGACCCAGCATAGCTCAGCCCTGACCTTCCCCTCCCCAACCCAAAGACAAATCAGGAAAATAAACCAGGGAAAGGGTAGGACAGGGAATACCCCATCCATGACTTACATCTGTAATCTTGGGGTTGGTGCATTTGCCCTTGGTGCTGGACAACTCCAGCCACTGACTGTCCTGGGCTGGGCAGTGCTGCTTCAGCGTGCACTGGTTCTGCCCCTCGCACCAGCCACACTCAAAGTCTGGGTCGGCTTTCAGGCAGAGTCCGCAGCTGTCCCGCATGGCCCCGCACTTGTACAGGTGAACTGGAGGGACAGGAAAACAGAGACGACCTGAGAGATGCAGACAGCATGAGAGAGGAGTGGGATGTCAGAGGGAAGAATGAGGAGCGAGGGGAAGGTGTTCTGGGCTGCTCGTCCCAGAGGCAGGATGGGACCTCACCAGGGAGGTAAATAATGGGGGAAAAGTGTTTACATCCTTCTTGAAATAAATTGCATTTGTCAGAGTTCATCCCCTGTGCGAGATAGTTTTGGAAGCTGAGAGAAGAAGGAAGGATGCTGTCCTCAGTAGGGTGAGGGGCTGCAAGCAGGAGGTTGTGGGAGAAAGGCGCTTGACCTCAGTCCCTTTCTTGTTCAGAGACTGTCCAAATGTCATACAGTGCCACCTATAGCCAGTCTCAGAATTCCATCCTAAAGTGATTTTCTAGACTTGGTATACCCAACAACTTAAACTTAAGGATTTGTCTGGTGTGAACTATCCAGAACTAGGTGCTGAGGTAATGTCACTCAGGTTTCCTCCCTACGAGAAATCCTAAGAGATAATAGTAAATTCACAATGGTTCACTATGACACTGAATTCAAGGATTCACAATCAGCCTTTCCCCCTTCTTCTGCTTTAGAAAATCAGGCTGGTTTACACTTTGAAGTACTAAGTTGATCCTCCTCGAGTGCAGACAGCAACAATTAATGCTTAGCTCTGTCTTGGGCTGCTAAGTGATTAGAAGCAGTCAAAGCTTTTTCCAAATAAAACCCAAAAACGTTGCAATCGTCCTACGAAAGAAAATCATGTTATTTATCCTTATTTTACAGATGTGTAAACTGGGGCCTGGGTTGCACAGGGGGGTGATAGCAAAAGTCTCTCCTGAAGATGAAGATGGCAGAATCGAGTTTTTTTTTTTTTTTTTTTTTCTGTATTTGTGGGAGTGTTGGTGGATTTCTTTATAAGGTGGGGCATTTTCCCTTTGTGCTTCTGCTTTGCTGTGTCAGTAGGTGACTAAAGACTTGTCTGTAGTTATTACTAAACACAATCTGAAAGCTCAAAAGCTTTGGATATGTGTGCTGAAAAACTCTGTCTCCTCATACCTGCACCCCAGGACTCAACAAGTATTGAGCAATGCAAGGGAAAGCTCTGAAAATTTTTATTTCTCCAGCTTGGATGCAAAAAAAGTTTGCAAAACAGCTGTCAATCCCAGTGTGCTACAGACCTCCTGGCTTACAGCCCCTTCCTTAATTTTCTGTTACAGTTCCTCAAATTTGCTGAGTTGCTCTGCTTGCAACGCCCCCCCTGAGCATCTCTTCAGACACTTCAGTAGTTCAACCTTGCAGCCCCCCAGCCCAGCCCATGTGATGCTGGCTATGGAAATAGTGGCCTCTTGGTTTCTTGGAGGCAGTGTACCCATTGCAACTGCACTTAGAGAGGCACTGAGTCTAACCCTGCTTCTGCCTCTCCCTCTCAGTTTCCCAGAGAAGGTCTGCTTGTTGGCAAACCAAAGCCCTGTCAGGGTTTTGTGTTTGCCTTTAGGAATTTCTGCTAGTAAATAAGCCCTGTGTGTCCTCAAAAGCATGTGGCGTGCCTCCATGTGGTACATCCATGTGCACATGCCTAAGCTCTCTCCCTGACCCAAAACATGATGGTATCGTCCAGACTACTTATTTGGGATAGTCACCAGCCAGTGCCACTTCCCAATTTTTTCCTAGTCATTATTATAATCTTGTGGGTTTGAACAACCCAAGAACTTGTAAGGGACTGAGCTAAGGACTAAGCACCACAGATATTTATTGAGTTCATCCCCTAGTCTGATATATGTTACCAGCACAGACATGCCTAAAGACACAATCATCATGATTATGAGATTGTTTTTACTCCTACATCACTCAGGACAGCTCAGTACTGCCCAGGAAAGGGTTCACAGTCTTGGTGTGGACCATGTTGAATCAGGAACACTCAGGCTATAACGGTAGCAGAAAACTAAGGACTGGGGCACCCTGACCTCCAACCCACACGTCACAGAGATGGGTGCAGGGGGAGGATGGGAAGGAGTCATGCTGTGAGGAGGAAAGTTGCCTTCTGTATTGCTTTCCAGCTTCAATGTGGTGGTGGTGGAAACGTCACCCACTACCTCTCAGCGTCAGGGTGGGCGTGAAATGGTGTGAGAGTTCCTGATGGGGAGAGGTGGAGTGAGGGAAGGTGTGTAAAGTGTCCAAGAAAAGAGAAGGTAAAGCAAGGGAGGGACAAAATTCTGAGAGGTGGTGATGTGAGGAGAGTGTGCAGGTCTGAGCACATGTAAATGCAGAGCAGCTGAGAGGAGAGGTTGCTGGGGGGAAAGGGTGGCTGAGAGTGGTGGACAAGAAGGAAGAAGATGATAGGAGTGGACCATCCTTCTCCAGCAAAAATGCCTTCCTCAGGGTTGTGGCTGGATATGCAATGACCCTCTGTGAGGGGCACATCAGTCCTGTGCCATTTGTAGTATTCAAACAGAACCAGACTGTTGGCAGGAGGTGGTTTCCAGTTTTTTGCCATTATCATTTTATTTTGTTCAGATTTTTTTCCTGCTGGCAAGCTGCAGCCTTTTCCCTCCCTCCCCCTCTCCCTTCCCCTGTTCATTACTACATTGCCTGAGCTGAGAGCACCCGATCTCCTGGCATGTTAACTTGAAGAGCATCACTGCAGGAGAAATAAACAGGGGGAGGAAGCTGGAGAAGGAGGGGCACAACAACAATACACAAAAATATGGGGAGAAGCGGGAGGCAATGATGATAAAGGGACAGGTAAAGCAGCACAAGCAGGAGGGAGAGTCATCTTTCTCAGGTGCAAAGAGAGAAAGGGGAGGGGGGGCGACACAAAGCACACAAAAAAGTGGTAATTTGCAGAGTGCAGAGAACAAGTATGCACCAGACAGCACAGGGAGATGGTGGCGGCTTTGTTAAGTGTAGGGAGCGATGCGGCCCGTTGCTAAGGTTACCGCTTCCAAGGACAAGTTGAAATAACTCTTTACCTTTGTTCTGTGCTGGGTTGTCAATGTTGAAATTCCCGTTCCACACGACCGTCAGCTCCACTGGCAGGCTGTTAATCTCCATTCCTTCATATGAATACTAGAAGTGGGAAAGGAAAAACAAACAAACAAACAAACAAAAATCCAGACTTACATGGTGCCCAGAGGTGGGTAAGGGATGGGACGAGGCAAGAGGTGGTGCCTCAAGTTGTGAACATGAGAAATGGAGCTGTCAGCGACCTCCCTCATCACCATCAGCTGCCAGAAAGCCATGGGATGCTCTCAAAGTTGTGGTTCTCAATAGAGCAAGCCCTGCCCCTCTCAATAACCTCCTCAGCCATTAGGTGAATATTCTGTTTTAAGCATATTTGCACGTGATGGAGCTTATCTTGGAAATCTACCTTCTAGGCGTTGACTACAACTCTGTAGAATGTTTTGCCAACTCTGGGGTGCACCTCCAAGGTGTACATTATGCTCTGTGTGTCTACAATCTGACTATACCTCTGCGGTGTCTCCGTAGACACTGAGTATATATGTAATGTTATCTACAATAGCGATATTCTGAAGAACTCTTGGAAGCTGAGGGAGGTCTCAGAAAGCAGGGAAGAGGCATATCATGGAAATACCTTAAGAAAGGGGAAAATTGAAGTTTTGTGTAATTATAGACCTGTCAGCCTAACTTGGCTTCCCAGAAAGAAAGTACATCAAATTATTAAACAATCAATTTATAAGCACCTGCAAGATGATAAGGTGATAAAAATCAGCCAGCATAGATTTGTCAAGAACAAATTGTGTCAACCCAATCTAATTTCCTTTTTTGACAGGCTTAATGGCTTTGTGGATAAAGGGGAGGCAGCAGATGTGATTTATCTTGATTTCAGTGGAGTTTTTGCTACTGTCCTACAGGAGTTTCCCATAAACAAACTAAGGGAAAAAAAAAAAAAAAAAAGTCAAATAATTATGTGTCAGGCTGGGAGGGTGTTTCAAATGGAGTATTGTCCTGGGTCTGGCATTATTCAGTATTTTTACTACTGACTTGGATGATAGACTACAGATTTAATGAATGACACTCTTCTGGGAGAGGGTGCAAGAACATTTAGGAACAGGGTTAAGAATTCAAAACAAACTTGACAGATTGTAGAACTGGGCCAAAATCAACAAGTGAAATTCAATACAGGCAAGCACCACGTATTCTTCAGTAGGTGAAATCAGTGTAAACAAACATGAAATTGGAGTGACTGGCCAGTGCTTCAGGGAAGGGTCTGGGGACTACTGAAGATCACAAACAGATTGTGAATCAACAATGCCATATTGCTGCCAAAAACCAAGCAAATCTCATTTGGGTATGTACTAGATAGAATTTGTTACATACATAAGCCCCAGAAGGCAATTATTTTTCCCTACTCAGAATCAGAAAGGCTTCAGCTGGAGTAGGGAGTATCCAGTTTCCAGAAAATATGTATTAAGAAAGCCACAGAAATCTTCTGAGAGAGTTGGACAGACTTAAACAAACACTTGTCAGACACAGTCAAGGTACACGGATCTGGCCTTAACGAAGGAAATGGAAGCTGATCTCTGGAGGCCTTCTCCACTCAGAGAGGGCTCTGACACATGATGTTTAGCGTATTTTTTCAGCTAGATTTTGGTTTATCCTAAACCAGGTCACACAGGGTTCACCCAATTACCCGCCAGATTCCACTGCCCACTTCCATCAACAGCTTCCATCCAACGCTTCACCAAAAGGGAAAAAGCCTCGTAATGGGAGAGGAGATGGTTGTTTAAAGGACAGAATGGGGACAAGACAAGAAGGGGAGAGACATTTCATGCCTGATACTACTACTGACCACGGCACACATAAGGATTTACCCTCCTGAGATCAGGAATCTCCCGCTGCACTGGGATCTATAGGGGGACAAACTCCCACTTCTAAAGAAAAAAGTGTTTTCCCCACTGCAGTGTTAAATATAATTGTGTAAGCTCTCTGGTTTGGTTGGGTATGTCTTAGAGACCACCAAGGACTTCCTCATCACTCGAAGTCTCAGTGTGGTTTTCCACAGAGATCCCAAAGCTCTGAGCCTTTAGAGGTAGGGTTTTTTTTCTGTATCTGTTAATTGCCATATAATTGCAGAATAAATTGTATATGGTGATTTCTGTCCATTACAGCAGAGTGAGTGCTGGTCGGACGATAATTTCTCTATGGAGAAACTAAACACAATTAGCCACTAATCTGCAATACCCTGTGATTACGATCTAGTTGTAGGGTATTTACGGGTATAAGCTTTGTGGTTACCATGGAAGTAAAGAACAGCCGCAGGTTAGCAGACTCCTTTGCAATAGGGCTGTACCCGCCAGTCTCATTCAGTATTAGCATTTTTATGACACCTCTCGGTGTCACTTGCCAGCAAGATACAAGATGATGCAGAGCCACCTGGACTCACAACACTGGCTTTTCACAGCTTTTTGGAGCTAGGAGCAAGGATGGGGAGATAGGAGCAGGAAGAAGAGCACCTGAAAAGTAGAGAATAATTAATCTTTTGCCACTCAGGAGCTTTGCAAATGCCTGCTTTGCACAGCACTTTGCAAATGCTGATTGGGAATGGGAAAGAGCATGTACACAGAACCACTGGTCACCCTTAAGTTGAGTCTGTAGGTGCCTAAGAGCTACTGTCTGCTTTAGCTGAGCCTCATTTATGTGTGTTGGGATTTAGCTGTTAGCAGACCCCAGGCAGGGCTGCCAAGGGACAGGCAGCGGGAGTTCCCCAGAGCCTTACGTCCCACTGAGGATCCGAGCGCCAGCAGCAGGTGCCAAACTGGGATTTTAGATCTTATCTGTCTGCAGCACTGAGCGCAACCACATATTAGACTTGTTAACTCAGCAGACTTGATCCAGAACTGGAAATGGATGCAAGGGAATAAACATGAGGATCCCCATGGAAGAGCTCCAAGGATGAAGCCAGATGGGGGCTGGAAGGAGGATGCTCCCACTGCCATGCCCAGGCTGTTCAGACAGCTCGCAGACTGCACAGCAGCAAAACAGAACAATTTGCAAAGTAACAGTGAGTAAACTCTCTGTCCTCTTCAGACCACTGGAGCTGCTAACTCATTGTGACCCCTGTTCAAAGCCCACCGAACTCAATAGGAGTCTTTGAAAAGGATTCGCTCAGCTGTAACAATAAGGTGGAAATATCTTTCAAAGACAAAAAAAAAAAAAAAAGAAAAAAAAAAAAAAAAGATGGTGTATTGATCTCCAGGACAGCAAAGCTTCCAGGATACTCCTGCTAAGAGCATTCATACCATTAGGGCTTGTATGTATACATTGTCTTGCCCAACTTTCTCCAGCACAGGCAAAACGGCTCAAAAGATGTAAATCTGACCCCTAAATCTGCCAAATCTGGATTCTCACCATGCAAACCGAATCAAAGCAGAAAATTACAGGCAATTTAGAGGTCCAAACTGAGAAAGAGGCTGCCCTTGCAGAAAGGCAGACTAGATCTCATCAGGAAATGCCAAAAAGCTGCTAGAAGGACCTGTTGTAATTCAACATAACAACACAGCGTGTTTCTAACTCCCAAGCACCAGTTCATTGACTCTTTAACTGGTATCAGCTACTCCTGCAACACAGGCCATTTTGCCATGCTGTTAGTGGTTTAACATATTATCCATAATCTGTTGTAAACACACTGACTGGCTCATGGAAGTTCACTATCCCCAGACCAAGAGGATGGCCGCAAAATCACAGCTCTCAGTTCCACAACAGCTGTGCAAAGATTAGCTGCCGCCTTGGAAAGATACTTCACGTTTCAGAAATCTGCAGATTCCTTGCTCTTTGGGGCACCCTGTTACTACAGACACCGCTGCGCTAGAGGAACTCAGCCTCCCAGCCCTCTGAGAATGGAGGTTGTGCAAATCCACAGCCAGGCTTGACCTCTTGCTGCACCTGCTGGGATACTGTATCACTGGGTAAAGCCCTTTGGTAATTTGGCTTGGGCACGTTTAGGATGATAAACCAAGAGTGGTTACATGATGTTTCCCCTTTGTACCTCAAGCATGTCCAATACATGCTTGCAGGCAAACAGCATTTTAGCAGTATTTTAGTATTAGTCTGCTTTCCCTGACACCACTTCTGCGATTAGTTCTCAGGCCTGGGGATTAACTCCTGTACCTGGCTCTGCCACCAACTCCTTGCGTGATTCTGTGCAAATCATTTAATGCCTCTTTGCATCAATTTTCCAGCCATAAACTGTAGGCAGAAAACTTATTGCCCACAGTCATCCCATCTCCTTAGGATCTTTGCTCCCCAAAGTTGGGATTGAATTTTTACGTCTGGGTATCACTCAGGAGCCCACATCATGACTGGGGTTTCTCTGTGATATCTGAATGTAGATAAATAATAATAAAGCATCATAATAATTTAGAAGTGGATGTACACCTCAGCCCTGTGCTTGTCTTCCTTTGGCCATCCATAAGTGTATTTCACATGATTTCTGTGAATAGTTCCTAATTTTTTCCCACTCTGTTTTTTGTTCTGTTTTAGTTTTGGTTTTTTTTAATCACTTCTCCACTGTGTGAGCCACATGTGTCACATGAGTCAAATGCCCCTGACATCTTTTGCTGAAGTGCAGGGGTGTGACAAATATATTTGTTTTTCCCATCCCTAAGTTACAGAGCCCTTTCAGCCGTACCATCCCAGGTCTCACGACAAACAGACCTGTGAAGGACTTGAGGCAAACGATCAAGCAGGGATTTTGCTGCTAGAAATCTGTGTGTGCTGCCCACGTGTGCCAAGGCCAGGCAATGGATAGGCTCATATCAACCAAGAGCGTGGGCTTAGTCATTGAAGCAGGTAATGGCAATGATCATGATCTCTCACCCATCCCCCTGTTCCTCGTGCCAAAGGCTGCTCATATCGGGCTGATTGCAAGTGCTGGGGTTCCCACTGTTTCCCACCTGGGAGATTGCTCTCTGCCCTAATAGATCTAGCAATTTCAGCCATTCCTGCTGACATTTTTACTTACTTATTTATATGCCTCCTTAGCTCTCCTCCTTTTCATTTCCTCCCATCACTCTGTGTCCAGACTGTCGGCAGAACTATCATAAGTGCAATAAGGAATGGCAGGCAGGGTCTCTCCGAGTGATAATTGCATGCCTTGGGTGGTGTGATAGAGGACAAAGCCCAGAGCTGAGAGTCTCAAACCACTTGACAAGAACAATAATTGTCCCAAAGCGTGATGCCTGAAGTGACTTATTGCTGTTATCAAATGAAATATCTCCAGGAAAGACAAGGGGAGAGACAGAGCTGGCTACTGACTGGACCAAGCACCTAGGCACCATCAGTGCTGGATGTGACATTACTGACACACCATCAGATAGGCTGCTCCCACCTGGGTGTCCTTATAGCACCCTTTAACTGAAGTTGGAACCGCTTAGAGAAGCACCTGCTTAAGATGGTTCTGAGCCCCGGTGTAAATCTTGAGGGACCAGTCAGTGGAGAGCAAGAGTTAAGGCTTTTTCCTGTCCCTATGCAGGAAAAAGCCTGCATTTTGCAGCAGTTATTCTGCAAGAGCTGAATTTGAGCTTGTCGGTGCCTAGTGTATGATGGGAGGGGGTACATCTTGAGGCTTATGAAGGAAAACAAGCCAAGAATGATTGCTTAGTCTAGCATGCATCACCAACAGAAAGATCTGCTGGCAGGATAGCACCCCTTCAGGGACACACCATCACAACACATCCTCCCACCCTCCTTTGGACCTTCTCCAAGCCTGCAATGCAGGTGCTACATTCAATGTCTCATCCAGCAACTCTGCTGAGTATAAAGCTCTGTCAAAGGGGCCTGATTCAATTTGCAAACAAGCTCATACGGCTGTTTCTAAAGCCAGGTGACCCTTGGAGCAGAGGCTCATTGTATTGCAGTGGCTCCAGACTGAATGCTAATTCTGGCAGGGAAGGAAATAATCATGATGGAGACATATCTACAGCACTCCTTCCCTATTGTCTGTGTCCTCTGCCACCTGCTCAAACAGAGCTGGGGCTTCTCTGTTCCCTTTTTGTATCTGTGTGAATGTTTCTTTCTTTTGTCTGGCTCTCCCTTCCACATCTCTTTCTCTCAGTGTCTGGCAAATGCAGAGCAACAATGAAATAACATTTCTCAGGAAAAAAAAAAAAAAAAAGAACTCAAATCAGAGAGTCATAGTACCTTCAAAAGAAAAGGGGAGAAAAGAGAAGGAATGGAAGGAAAGTGAAGGAAAGGGGGAGAGAAAGCAGAAAACAGAATAGAAAAGAGTTTATTCCAGAATAAGCCTCTCTCCCTAGAGAAGTGAAGTCCACTTGAGCCACCACCATGCATGGGACATCCTACGGACACCACACAACAGAAAGGTTGTGGAGTGCCTTGGCACTGGCCTGACTCAGCCCTGCCTCCCTGCACAGCTCAGCAGTAACCTTGAGTGTCCTGGCATGCAGACAAACATTAAAAACAACATGGTGCTGTCGCAGCACTCGGGCATCCCATGAACAAATGAATCTGGGGACTCATCGAAGCCCTTCTCCAGTCCTAGGCACGAGCAACTTCTTGGAGCATGCAGGTAGTATGGGAATAGTAACCATCACCCCTCAGGCTCAGTTACTGCAAACCACAAACTTGGATGCTGAGAGGGACCCTCCAGGACTACTGAGGCAGTCCGTCCTCTACTCAGCCCAACTGTGCTTAAAATCATTCTGAGATAATTCATGCTGATGCCTATGTGTGCCAGAGAATTCATGATTCTAAAGGGTGGCTGCTTCTTTACCTGCTAAGATTCTTTGGACAGATATGTAGGCTCTGCCCAGGTCCATATAATACCCCTTTAACCACAGGCTTTTACCATTGTAAAAGAATTTTTTTTTTTTTTTAAGTGTAATGCTTTCTCAATTTCTCAAGCCATCCATTTCTGTGAAACCTCAAACCTGAATGCTCACAGTCCACTAACCTGTAATGAAAATCAGGGAGAGAGGGAGGGAGTGAGGGAGGGGGACAAAGAAGCAAATACAAGTGTCGTTGGGAAGTTGCTTGTTTGCAACAGATCGTAAAATCTGCGAACTGCCTATAATCTTCAGCACGTTGCTTAATGCAGCAGAATATGTTGTGATGGATTTTAACAAGTGCTGCCCAGCATGGAGTGGCAGAGCTGCAGTGAAGTGGCTAAAGCCTGTAATTAGCTCTTTGACTAATAAATCATCTCATAGTAGTAGCAATGAGAATGACTCAAATGCATGTCTTGGAGAGATGAATCTCATGGAAAACCTCCGGAGCAGCAGATACCACCATTGCACACAGGCAGAGCTCCTGGCGGTGTTTGCCCCCAGAACTGGCATTGCTGCGGTGGCAACACCATCACGACTCACACAGGAGGAGGTGTCATAAAAATGCTAATACTGAATGAGACTATAAAAAAAAGGGGGTGGTTGCTGGTCCTGCAGTGCGGATGGGGAAGCAGAGGTGGGCAGAGACAGAGACCTACCAAAGTTCATGTGGTCAGGCAGTGCCTGGAGGAAGGTTTGACTCAAGCCTTCAGCATCTGACCCTTCTTTTGACCTATTCCATGCTGGCATCTGCCAGACTGTTTATATGGAGGGGTTTTTATGTGCCACTACCAAAATGCCACGTAGTAACTAACCCTCAGTGTTGACATGAACACTCATCCCTTTGGAAACTTTTTTGAATGCACACAAGGATGTGGTACTGTGAGGATATGGGCAAGTTAAGTTAATAATAATGCCTATGGGTCATGGCTAAGGTGCTCCAGCACGGCCAAATGCTGGGATCCAGGGGCAGAAGCAACTACTGTGTGATGACACCAGCCAGCCTAAAGAGCAAGAAGGGAAGTCTGCATGCTACCAACACAACTTTCCTTGACTGTGGCTGGAATCGGGCAGGCAATAAGGTAAAAGGGGCTGCATCACAACCCCAGGTCCCACTGGCACAATGCTGCAGGCACTTCTGGTCCTCCTCAGCCCCTGCATCTCTCCCAAGCATGCGGAGCTTGCTCACCGAAGTGTTCTGGCACTGCACACTGGAGCTGTTGAACCTCAAGGCGGGCACCCGCTGCTCATTGCCCTGGATGTTCAGGATGCACTCGTAGCCTCGCTGGCCCGACTGTGGCTGGGGCAGGTTCTTGGCCTTCAGCGTGATCGGCTTGATCACTTCCACGGGCACCAGGATCTTCTCTGCCTGCAGCAGCTGGGGACAGTCCTAGGGAGAGAGAAGACAAGACACCAAGTCAGCACGTGGGTTTCCCGGCCCCGGGTGGAGTTCTGTGATGATGCTCAACCTTCTCGCTTCACGCTTCACTTCAACCGGTTACAAAGCCTTTGCATCTCCCCAGGCCTCAGCCTATTACAAGGGTATTCAAGGAGCATTACCGGGAAGGCTTAGATAAACAAGTGGGAAGGATTTCCTTTTTACAGACCATCCTTTCCTATCTCCCTTGTTCGCACTACAGATTTTCAGCCTTCAGGACCCAAGGAAGCTACCTCTGATGCTTTTTAATACCTGCTCTGTTAATCGGGTAGTGGGAAAGCAATCATGTTCCCTTCAGGGACTTAGCCCAGTCACAATGCCATGACATGAGAAGGGAATAAAGCAAAAGTCTAAGCATGATTCCCTGCCTCCCCAATATCCAATGCACCATTGCACTAAAGGCACAGCTCCAGCTAGCTCCAGCAAGACATGTTAGAAGCTACAGAGCCTGGGCTGTTAATAAGAGAGTTTGTTTGGCCTTAGAAGGGACAGAATATTTATTACAGATGGATCCAGCTTCCAAGATACAACCGTTAATGTGTGGAGATCCTCTGGAAGGGCTTGCCACCATTCCTCAGAAGGAGCAACAGTAAGTGGGTGTTGCTAATCCCGTGCCTCTTGGTGGGTCCCTCACACAGGTAGAGGTCTGAGCCCCCAGAGCTGTAGCGCAGAAGGCTGTATTCACAGGCTCATCAATTTGCACAGCTTTAGTTAGAGTAGCAATGCACTGCTGCTTCACAGTACAATCAAACAACTTCAAGCTGTCAAATTCTTGTATTCTAGGAAGCAGTCAACTCTTTAGAAAATCACTGCAGCGTTTGCCTGGCTAATTCAAGGCAGTTTGATATAAAATGGGATCCTTTAAAAACCCACTTACAACAGGCTACAAAACATAAGCATGCCAGATGCACCGACCACATTGTCTTGATCACTTGTGAGTGCCTGGATGTCCCCTCTCTTAAGACTTTTGAGCTCCTAGATATCAGGAGAAAGCCTGTCCCCTCTTTTTCTTCAGTGCACTGTATTTGGTACACTGCCTGCTGTCTGTAGAGCACCACAGTATCGTGGTGGTGCAGCCACCCTGTCCAGTCCAGAAAGCAACACCATTCCGGTCTGTCCCACCCAATGCTAAAACCAGGTCTAGTTGGTGCAAGTAGAGACAGGGAATTTACATAACAAGGTGCAAGGTTAATCTGTACTTGTGCACAAGGGATGGCAGGAGGAAAATGACTGATCTGGGGCTGGAAAGCAGGGAAAGGGACTGAAAGGCTCAAAAGTGGAATTTATGGCTTATGAGAACCTGGGAGCTTGTTAGAGCAGATGGTGGAAGCACCTTACTGAAGCAAATATCTTAGGAAGATAAAAAAATGGATTAGATGTGTAACATCTGCAGTTACACCAGCTAGGAACAGAATTACAAGAGCTATCAATCATCACACTGTGGGTGTGAGCCAATCCATGGCCAGGGATAGGAAGAAAATCCAATAACCATCCAGCATGTCACTGCAGTGAAGTCCAGAAGTCTTCCTCCATCCCCAAAGAGGGTCTGTCTGTCCTAGTGGGGATACCAGACTGAAGACCCCTTTGGGGTGACCTGGTTTCTCATCTGCACTTACAGGGTGATGCTAATGGTGTCAGGAACACCAAAACCAGGACAGCCAAGCACACAGTCACTGGAGCTGGATGGAGGTAAACCGTTTTGGGGTCTGGTGGCCATTTGTCTGGGTTAATCTGGCACAAGGCCTAGCTTAATTAGTGCCACCAAGGACTGAGGCTTAGTAGGCCATTGCATTAACCTGGCTGGATGATGTAAGGCTTGGAGGTGGCTCCCTGGGGGATCCTGATGCTAAGCAGCACTTCAGCAAACAGACATGTGTGAGGAAGCTCCAGGAAGCTGAGCATATGAGGTTGCCTCATCATGCACAAGATGCAGACAGTGTGGAAAAAGGCCACGTCTGATCCCCAGAAGTGCTTGAGAAGCTACATCCTCTTCCAACACTCTCTGATCTTGCTGTTGTCCTGTCCCATGATGAAATGTCCTTAGGGAACTACTAGTGAAAAGCAATGATTAAATTGTCATAAAAGTGTTTGTCTTGACAAAAGGGCAAGGCTTGACAGTCTAGAAAGTCTTTCCAAACTTGAGTCCAATGATTCTACCCTATCAAGGCACACCAACATTAAGGCTAGCTGCAGGTTGAAGTAGCTACTAAGCACAAGAAAGTGAGGCATAATCTAATCCTGAGTGATTTAGATGTATAAAAACTCAGAGGGCAGGGTAAGGAAGTGGTCTAGGATATATTAAAATAGGAGTGAAAGTTTCCAGTTCTGATCACACCAGCAGATACCATGTATAAATACCATTTGGGACGGTAAGGCTTCAACACCCCCTTGACCCTTCCTCTTCACCTGCCCAACATGTCCTGGGGACTCTGAATCAGCTTTCCTGCCTTCCTTCTGGCATAATAAAAAACCTTGGCAACATCATCTTTTTTTTTTTTTTTTTTTTTTTTTTTTTCCCTAGCTACAGAAGTTGAGAGAGATGCATTGGCAAAGTGAATCAGTGGGACAGGAGGATGGGAAAGCCCTATCTGCAGCTGAGCAGCCATTTCCCAAGAGTGGGCATTTTCCTTGATGTCTGTCAAATAGAAAAGCCTCTGAAGGGGACTGGAGAATGGGGGTTGGAGATAGTCCACTATGTTACCTGCAGGCCAATCCCAGCTCTTCAGGCTGGTCTTTCTTGTCTAGCTTTATCCTGTCTCCCTCCACCATTGGTGCTGTAACCTTTCCGATAACACTTGTTTCAAGTTCATTAACAAGCAGTGATTGCAGCAGCCCCAAAACAGGATTCGTTTGCATATAAAAAGCTTTGCAGCGCTGTGAGGAAGTTCATTATAGATAATTGAAGAGGCAAGCGCCATAAAGAGGAAATCCTCCCAATGTGGCTTTATCTGATTGACCTAATGTTCTTTCTAATTGAAACAGGGGGGGGAAAGGTAATTTCATTGGGTGATGTACTGCATAAAACCTCAGACTTTGGACTAGGCTCTGGGTTCAAATTCAAACGTAGTGCTCATTTTGTTGCCTGTGTCAAGCTTTGGGTGCCTGGTCAGGTTTGTATTTTTGAAGGTAAAACATCAACCTGATCAGAGGAGACCCTGCAGTAGGACCCAAGCTGAAGGGTCCTTTAGAAAGAGTTATCTTGGACTTTTTCCACAGTTTCTCTTCACCCTTCCTCTGCAATGGACAACATCTCGGTTGGAAAAGCACAGTTTTCACATGATGTAGGGGAAATAAAAACATCCGCTGCCAATGACTCTACCAAGGAAGGTCACAATCCCATCCCTTCTATCTTTGGTATATAATAAATTTAGCCCTTCCCCTGACAATAAGGGGAGCTGGTTCAGATTCCAGAGGAGCTAAAATCCAGTTTAATCTGTACCAGGGCTACACATTTGCAAGCAGACTCTTGTTGATTCATTTTGTGTGTGTAGATTCATTCTATTCCTTAGATGCTTTCAAATGAGTCAGTCTCTTTAAAATAATATCCTCCACCCTTGCCAATTACTCGTATCAGCAGCGATGCACACCTCAAATCACCAAATTTTGCCAGTTATCAAGTCAGAGAGCTTTTACAGTGAAAACACTGCATGAAATGGGCTGTACTCATTGGGTCGATGGTAGTTTAATTTTCTTTATTTATAACTCCTCATAGAATGCCTGCAAATGTGTTTTGCTGTAGCTTGCAGAAATAATGAAGTCTCCGAAATATGAGAACCCTTTCTCTCCTTTTCTCTCACATATGTGTTATGGCCCTCATCACAGCTATATTTGAGTGAGTTCCCAGTGAAAGCCATCATGAGAATTCTGTTAAAGAGGGCGATGAAACCTCTCTGAGGCGATGTGGTCTTAGCCCTGAACTAATTAGTTTGCTTCCTTTATGGTGCTTCATACATATATAGTTATGATTTAATGGAGATTTCTCCACGTTGTTTCCAGTATAAGCTGGAGACTGACCAGATATTCTGAGTTACCATCCTCTTCTAGGAATGAGATACGTAGGGTTCTTTCATAGTCTTGTGATATTGCTTAGATTTTGTTCTAACCTTATTTTGTACAGTTTTACTCTCTGTTACTGTTTATGGCCAGGATCATGAGCCCAAGTCTCATCAAAGTGTTGTTCATTTTCCAAAAGAAAATGCATCTGATCTACTTTGAATGGGAGTCATCCTACATGGGAATAACTAAAACAACCATGAAGGTTTAAAACAATGACCCATCCACTTATCAACAGTCTCCCCCTTATGTTGGTGCCCCAGTTCATTTGTCTTCCCGTATGCATCTCGTGTCATCCAGAGCATTCAGGTGAGGGAATCTTTCCTACATTTCCTTCATAGTGTTCCTGCATGATCCCTGGCAGCATTGACTGGATCTCCACTTTCTACAGAAGGAAACTAGAGCTCACCCATTGCTGACTCCATTGTAGGCATTCACAGTAAGACGAACTGAACTCTTGGCAATGAATTTTAACCCTTCCTTTCCCAGAAGAGCAGGCATCATCTCCATTCAGGAACAGACACAGCCAGCACCACCAATTCCTCCACTACTCACCTCAAAGCATCCACTTCCCATTTTCTCCTGCTATCAAAATCCTTTTCTTTATCCTCCACTTCAGGGTTTTTTTAAGACTTTCTTTTCAGTATTCCTCATTCAGCAGTGATCTTTGTGCCTTATCCAAGCCATCTTGCCTGGAACATGACCACAAAGTGAACCTAAGTGGGGAACCATAACTTACTCACTCAAGCCCATTGGGAATCAGATTTCACCTGGATCAAAAGCAGGAAAACAGCAAGTTGGCAGAAGAGAGGTAGCAGGGACTGCCTGGAATATGCTGCCTGAACTTCTCTCTCACACCTCAGCACAGTCACCCTAGGTCAGGGCTGTGACAACACCCG